ATTCGCGTCAATAAGGCCATTTTGTACGAAAGTGGCGTATACCAAAAACATTATGTCACTTCCCTAGTGAATGTACTTGAGATCAAGTACTTAGCTACTTGCAAATTTTCTAAAGTACTTGGTTAAGCACTTGTCAAGCATTTTTAGATTTGATACATCCCAAGTGCTTGGAAGAACTTCAGATACTTGCATATATTTCGCAAGTACTTACCATATTACCTGCCAAATACTTGATGGAGTACTTATCTAGTACTCATACTTGTTAAAATACTTGATAAGTACCTTTTTTACTTGCAAAAGGCTCCAGGTACCCTGGACATTACTTACACAAGTACCTTTCTAAGTACTTGATCTCAAGTACATTCACTATGGTTAAACTAGTCAGCTGCTAGACTTTGCTTAATTAATATCTCAAAAAAAAATCTCTAAGCTACAAGATACGACATTCCCCAACTGAGTTGGGCCAACTCTGTGTGTTTCTTGGCTGAAGAGCTATGAATTTCACAAAATAACTTACGTAGATGTTGGCTTTTACGTGGACAAGCCTATGTTAGAGATATGCAACTCGACTCGCACCCAAACGTTGGGTACGGGTACGAAGTTGTCAGGTACGGATTGGGTACGGGTCTCGTTTTTCTTAAATTTACTCGAAACCCGAAAGATTTTATTAGAAAACCACAAAATTTTAGTGAAAAAATATAAGATTTTAGTTAAAATACATCAAGTTTTAGAAGAGTTACTTGAGAACGTAATGATAACTTGACATCAACAGCCGAAAAACAAAAGCTTTTAGTTGAAAAACGAAAAGGAGTAAATTTTTAGGCATAGGTCAGGTACGGGTCGGATACGAGTGAAAAATTTGTTTCGTTGGCTACAGATCGGCAAACGGTACCCGTGCACATCTCTGGCATGTATGTTTTAAATATTTAATTTTTATAATGGAAAATATTTCCATGGACTTGTAAGTTTCTTGACAGAACATATCAAATAGGTTAGATTTCAAGTGTTACTTTTTTAGTAGATGACTTTTATCCAGATTTATCTAACTCTTCATCAAGACCACCTCAAGAATGACAGTAGGTCAACACTGTATCTTTACAGCACTTCCTATGATGAATTTACTATTGAGGACTTTTTTATTTTATTCAAAAATATAAGAACACTGTTTAACAGTTTCAACAAGATTTTTTCTCTAAACAATTATTCAGGATTAATGATGAATTTGATTGTATATTTTTACCTGACAAATTACTGATGAAATTTAATCTTCAGCAAAAGTCTTGTTTTCCTCTAGAAGTGTTTCTAATTTTTCATCTATTTTCTATTGCTTTCGATCACTCGAAATATACTTATACAGTGCTAGTCTTTATTTTTTTTAGGATGCAAATGTTTATAGTATTCCGTTCGATAATACAAAATTGTTTCTAAGTCTAATATAAAAAAAAGTTACATTTTATTCGAAATACTACTACTTCGCACAAATATTTGAGCTTAATTTATGTGCCTAGTGCTGTTCAGAAATATATCACAGTCAAAATCTAACGCTTCATTTTATCCATACGCTGTAGAATTCAATTTTTCCTTTTGTTCAATATTATTTAAAATCATTTCTCAATTGCACTAATCTAATGTATTGTATATGTTGTTGTTTATATAGCTGATGTTGTTATATCATTTAATTTCATTTTTCTTTATTACATTGTAAAGGAAATTTCTCTATTATTTTTCATTGCCAACAGCAAAAATTTAGTCTCATTTTTTCATATATATTTTTTTTTATTAGTATTTTTATACGTACAATAGGTAAATAGAACAGATGAGAGAACATACACAGATAGAACAAATTTTTGAAACATTATATTATTTATAAGTTTAACGTTTGATGTACGAAAACTATTTTGAACATCTTTTATAAGTACATAGTATCTACAGTAGTACCAACTAATGCTCCTAACAGGACTAACGAATACCAAATAACAAGTATTTTATTATATCTGACACCTACATATTTAGTCTTTGTAATTGAAAGTACTTTATTAACTAAAAATGTAGAATGTCCTATCAACTGATGATGAACGTCAGCTCACGAAATATCGGAGATCCTACTGTAGTGCGACATTGATTCAACTATACCAATGAAGGGATAAATATGTTGAATATTAATGTACACAAGATTATTTTGCTACTTTTAAAGTTGCGTAATTGAGAAATATCAACTCTCTTAGAAGACTTGGAATACGTCAAGTACTTCTTTCAGTAGTTGATTTTCAGATGTTAAGTAAAATAAGACATTTTACTAGCTTTCTTTACTATCGTTTTTGTTTTTTTGTTCAAGAATTACGTATTAGAACTAACAAAAGATAAAAACTTAAGCCATAAACAATTGTTTTAATCACGAAGAGAATGGCGTTGATTGAGCTGAAAAGGTTATAGACCCGATAAATTCGTTCTAATTGTTGTACATTTTTTTGAGTTTAGTTTTTTAATCGTTGTGTATAACATCGTTCGATAGAAAGAATGTTTTTTTTTTACTTCTCTTTCGCAATAATAACGCGATGTTTACTCTTTTTTTTTTCATCTCTGTTATTTTAATCCCGTGATTGCTTAAAGTAATCTCAATGAGAAGAACGGCGTGGTTGTTGTTTTGTTTTGCTATTTGAAGTATTTTTGCATAAAGGATAGTTTTCTTTTATTTATGTCACTCATTGTATACGAGAAAATAAGGTATGGCTAATTTCTAATGAGGAACACGAATGTAATTCCAATACTCGTGGTTCTACACTACATGTATTTAATACTACCTATTTTAATAGAGTAGTTACTTGAGTTCTAAAAATATTTAAATTTAGTTTTTGTATAATCGTTCATTCGTCTTTGTTTCTCTTTTGATGTTGTTTGATCTTACAAAGCCAATTTGGGACGAACTGAGAGGACACCGTTCTCTAACATTCATATAAAAGTATAATTATTTTCGCTAAAATCTGTCATATTTCAGTGCATTAAACAAACATAGAATTATTTTCTTATTTTTCAACTATTAAACAAACTCATAGACATTTATTGTCAGTCATCTCAAACTAATAGGGTCATATTATATATGTTATTTACTAACGTCTGAACTCTATTAAACAAGGGAATCTCCAAGTGTTCAAAAGTTGATTGTTGTATTTTATTGCTGTATGTATGGCCTTTTTCTTGCTTCTTTTCTTTCTTTTTTGTATGTGTGCGTATGTGTATGAATGTTTTATCCGTTGTAAATATACTAAAGCACATCCGTTTTGTTTATACGCAACTGATTCTTTACCTGTTCAATTTTCAAATGGCATCTCTTTCGTTCTTTCCGCTCGATAAGATAGATCTTTTGCCCGAGATTAATAATCTATGTTAAACTTGAAAAAAAATTATTGTTCTGGATCTTCCGTGTTTTAATTAATTAAAAAACATCTATATATCTATCTATAGGTACACATATATAGTTATATTAAAATGCTGAAGTTAGTTGACATAGTAGAAAAAAAAAGTGGTGCAGACTTTTCTTTTTGCTCATCAAAAAACTCATTGAAGCAAAAATGAGGTGTTCGCCACACCACTATGGCTTTTTTTTTCTCCTTTCATTTCGGGATTGTTTTATTTTTCTTGAAAGGTAAAAGAAAATCTTATTCTGCAATATAATCTTATATAGAACAGTAAAAGAGTTCATTTTCTTTTTTATGTCAATATAGCAGAAAAAGAAGAAAAAAAAATAGTTTGACATGCTCAATGATAAATTTTTCAGTGGCAAAGTTTCAGTAATAATACAACAGAAATCATTATTATTGACAATTTCACAGTAAGACATCATTTAAGAGCTATTTTTGTATTTAACTGATCAAACAGTAAAACATTCGACTTGTCTATCATAAATGTTATGCTTTTTCAATTTCTTCTAGTTAACAGACGACTTATTTTGCAGATTTTTTGAAAATTTCATTTTATTTTTTTTCACAGTAGTTGTTATTCAAGTTGTATTTTCAAAATAAATGTAAACTTGTACATTTTAGAAATTTATTAAACTTTTAAACTCTGAAGTGTCACAGGTGGTTATAGTTATACTACCCCTGAAAACCAAGAGAGGAGCATTTCTGGTATGTCTGCGTTTTTCCGATTGTTTTTAATTTGTTGATTTTCCCTTGTCGGCACTGTTGTTCTTGTTATTCTTACTTTCGTCATTATTTATTTAACTTTAAGGAATTGTTATACCATAACCTGAAGAAATAACTTGAACAAAATCTCTAAATTACTTATAAATATCGTGGTTTTAATCGTGAGAAATAGATCAATCTCATTATTGATCACTAGTAGTAGCGGAGTTTTGTCCTCATTTCATTTGTCATAGTTATCAATGTCGCCGCTGTAGAGTTAGTCAACAATTAAGAACATCTCTGATTAATAGCTTCAGTCCATCGTAATTGAATTTACCCAATATTACCTTAACTATAGGAGATGATGTACCATTTTTCTCTCAAAAAAACGACAAATCGTTATACTCTACTATTTTATAAACTACGCTATACAACTTTTTTAACTATTATAACATATACTAATGGTGAATAATATTGTGCTTTTTTTTGTCCTTTTTAGAGAATTCATTCGTTGTCAATGAAGATACAAATGGTTCATATACCTTTAGTTTAGAACAGACAAAACAGACTATCAATCCCATAAAAACAGTACAATCTACAGCGAAAAAAACTTCTTCAGATAGTCCTGTCTCTTCGTCATCGCTTAAAACAGCAGCTACTAAAACTCAACAATCATCACTTTCATCTCCTACCAAAAATACTACTGTTGAAAATCAAACATTAACTAATAAAAACAATTTATTGAATGAATTATTACAAAAACGTACCGAAGTACAACCTATTCTCAATAAAAACTCATCTAAAACTAATGAGCTAATTTCTCCTCTTTCTTCATCCGGTGCTAAAGATCAACCCACAGAAAACCAAGTTAAAGAGAAACAATATCCATTACCCAAAACTGAACCACCACCACCAGCAAAAGCGCTCAGCAAAAATCGTATCAACGAATTTGCTAATTTACTATCAGCATCTGTCCATTTAACGAAACCGTCGGAACCACAAATATCAGTCAAAAAACAACAAGCAATCATTAATAGATCAAATCCAGCCAAAATAACTAGTACTACACCAACAATACATTCACCACCATCTCCTACTCGCTCAGAAGATCAAAGTTTTACATCTGTACCATCGTTAAGCAGTGATCGTGATGAACGTGATTCATATCATACAGTAAAATCAAATAATTCTGACAAAACAACAATCGAATCGAAACCTATTGATGCACGCTACAGTGAAAAAATTGATGATCGTAAGTTTAAGCATTTTAAAAAATTAAACATGATTTGCATTGATCTACACATTTTATAGGAACATCTATAACAATAAAAACATCAAATATCAAGGCATTATTTGAACAAAAGCTAGCTCTAAATGATGGTACAAAATCACTATCAGCGTCTAATGAACAATTATTAAATTTTTCGTCCGACAGTAGTAGTAATTCAACAACAAGAGAACATAAACGAGTCCCAGTATCCTACGGTAGTTTAAAGAAATCCATACAAACAAACCAGTCAACAACCACATTGAATAGAGATCAACAAAATCTATCACCAAATCAGTCACCACATTTGAGAAAATTACCGCAAAACGATTTGACAATGGCAACGAATAACTACGGCAAATATACGGATCATGCATCGAAAGATGTTGTTATAGAAGATATAGCGGTAAATACCTGTATCTTGTCCTTTAGATAGTTATGTGTCTTTAATTCCACTATTAAATCTCCTTAATAATTAAATCTCTCAATTAATCTCCACCATTAATAATCCTTAATTAATTTGCAACACTAGAGTATTTTTATATACAGAGCTCAAAAAACGAACTTTTAAATGCTATAGAACCGGTTTTTGACGAGCCCATATTTAATTGATATCTGTTCGAAATGTTTTGCATTATCTTCCCAAATAATATATCCAAATTTTTGTCAGAGTATCAGTGTTGGAGAATAATTTTTTGCTTTAATGAATTATATAATTTATATCTATTACTAACAGCATGCTGGTTGCAACATCATAAATGTGGAAAGGCTGATGCCCATCATTAGTTTAATTAAAACAACATATAAAAACAGTCGTAGATTTGACTTCAATATTTTGTGTGGTTATTTTTATAGGAAAACTTTTTTTTCTTTTCATTTCTGTTCGAAAAGAATTGAAAAGGAAAATGAGTGTGTTAGATCATATAACGTTGTTTTAAAAAATCTAATTGTACTAAGGACGGAAATAAGAGTTATTCATTCAAATCTAAAGAGAACTTACTCTAATAAAATGTAATTTCTTCGTCATTTGTACACGCTAAGCTTAAACTTGACAAATAACAAAATATCACTAAGAATTATGCATGATTTTTGTTTATTTTAGCCTGAACGTTCATTATATTTCAATACAAACTATCACATGAACGATACATTACGTTCGAATGAATCAACTCCATGTTCATCAACAAGCAGTCTAGCATTTGAAAAATTTAATATTAAACCTCAAACACGTTCTCCATCAGAATCTCTGATAGCTAAAGAAATACGGGAATCAAACGAAAAAGAAGAAGAACTCAGACGACAACGTAAAAAAGTCGGCTTAAATTCTGATCAAGAAGAAAATGGATCGATAGTGCAGATTGTACCAGATCGATCGACGACAGATACGACGCGCAAACGAGAGACTCGTAGTAATACATCATTCTCATCAAATTTAGACTTTTTTACTTCAAAAGCAGCATCTTCGACTGTATCATCACCATCGTTAAATCGAAATACAACTTCAAACGGTTTTAGGGGTGAACGTCGGCCATCAACTAACACAACAGCAACAACAATACCACCAGATCCTAATCTTATTTATGATTCATCAGCATTCTCTAAACCATCAAGATCATCCCATCAAACGGATATAATTAATCGTCTTCATGATTCATCCCAAGATCGTGAAGATGAATTAAAACATATTAGTCCCGTTGTCACTAAAGAATTGAATCGTTTTAATGAAAACGGTATAGGATTAGTTCGTACATCATCGACAAATCTAATTTTACATCGTTCATCATCGAATAATACATTGCCCATTATAGCGAATGTTGTCCAACGTGAAATTGAATTAAATCGTATAAAAGAAGCTGAATTAAGAGAATTAGGACGTATCATTCATACATCCGATGAACATTCCGATCCAAGAAAATATACAGAACAAATACCACAACAAAATGATAATATATCAAAAAGTCGTTCGATTAATATGTTAGTTAAAACACGTCGAGATAGTGGATTAAATAATCGTTCAAAAAATGAATTTGATTTTCATAATCAATCTCGAACAAGTCCATTCACAGCACATACGAATAATAATGGTATTTCGAATCAAAAAAATGTTTAGCGTATTTTTTTTTCCTTTTGCTGAAAATATCTAAATCAAAATGAATTAGGATATAATGAATAGCCAACAATAACAACAATCTACCTCGTTTTGATCATCATTTTAAGACGAGAAACTATACACTAAAAAACAAAAAAAAACAAAGAAGAAGATCCACCACGTTCAATATTATGCTCAACAATATAATTTCTTTCGTACACAGTGCACACTTTCAGAATAAAAAAATGGAATGTTGTGGTGTTTTAGAAAATAAATACATATTAAATAATATTAAGCAGACAAGTACATAAAATTTAAAAAAAAAATGATGAAAAGTGAAGAAAATAATGATAATTCTAGTAAAAGTTGGTGATCTACTTCAAAAACTTCTATTCATATGCTGTAAGAAAATGATTAAATAGCTACACGTTCTCAGATTAGAATTAGAATGAAATTTATCAGACAGAAAGAAGACACTAGAGCACCTATTAAAGTCACACAAGTTTTAATAATAATAAAATAATCTTCCCTTTTTTTTCTCTGGACAAACATATTATATGATGGATGGAATGTGCAAAAAATAGAAAATATTACCCCCATGTAATAATTGTTTTGAGCATATTTTTGAAAAAGAAAAAAAATGACGACTAATTATTATTATTTCTTCAATTCAAAATAAAAAGTAAAGAAAAAGAAAGAAAGAGAGAGAGAGAGATTAATTCCAATTATGTATGTCAATGTACCATGCGACACGTATCAAAAACCATCAAACAGAACTGTTTCAGGAGTAAACATGCTCTTTGCTCGTGAATAAATTCACGAGAAAACTCTGTTTTTTTGGTCGATTTGTTGTATCTGATTCGATTGCCAAAATATTCGGAGGTGGACAACTCCGATTTTCGCTCCATTAGCAACGACTCCGTTGCATTTTTAGGCGTACTAGTAGCGATATTATCCAAAATACACAGTCTAACTCTGATAAAGTACGAATAACTCCACTTAAAATTCGCTCACTTCCGAAATCAAATCATGCATCCATTATTATCACTTAATTCACAAAAAAATGGGCAGAATTAATGAATAAATACACAACAGTATTCTCACGCCCCCGAAGCTGCATTTTCATATAATTGGAATAAACAACAGGTAATAGGACAACAAAATATAGCTTCTTAATAAAGCTGTCGAGAAGAAACTATTAGTTGGACAGAAGGGATCTCTAAGGGGGAAAGGCATGAAGTATTATAAATTTTAATTAACACAGTAGAGATATAATATTTCAATTCGTCTTTCAGAGCCTGAATTCTTAATAGTCAGATCTTTTAATAATCGAATAGTGATAAGAAAAATAAAAGTATGACATCAATAACGCTATCATCAAAACAGTAAATAAAAGATTCCTATAAAAGAATTGTAAACAACTCTTTAAAATATAAAACAATAATACTATACAAAGAAAGCTATGAAAAAAAAATAGTCATATAGTACACATTGATTTAATAATAACATTTTGTTGTATCATCTCTGTTAAAGCTAATAATGGTTCTGTTGGTACGGGTATTTGTTTGTAATCAAAATATTCGATATATTTATTCGTTTCAAATAATTGTGCTGAAATCATGTAATCATACGTGAAAAATGAAAATTGTTTATACATATCAATTAGCCAACCATTATGAGTTGCAACATGTTCTAAATGTGTTGAATTTAAATCTTTCAAATATAACTTTAAAGATACTTTTGTATATGAAAGATCGATATCAATTAAATTTATGGACGAATAATAATTAATTGTATGAGAAAATTTTTGTTTGAGTACTTTAATTAATTCCGCTATTTGTGAACGATTTTCTAGATAAATACAGATATCAATAAATGGTGGTCGATCATAAACAAAATATGCTGATTTTAAATCAAATATATAATATGTTCGATTATTTTTATCACGAAATAATGATGAATAGGAATCAAATAGCGTATAAAAATAAAGATTTTTTCCACATATTATGTATCTGTAATTATTAATCACTAAAAAATCGAATAAACGATGTAAACTGGTATAATTGTTCTCACTATAAGCATAGGCAAAAGTTTTATTTGAAATTGCTACTTTAACATATCTTAGAAAATTTTTTGTCAATTGTTTTTGATCTTCATTTAATTCAATAGAAGTTCGCACAAATTTAATATCAACACACTGACCATTAGCCGATAATAATGGATCAATAAAATATTTATGTTGAATATTGACAAAATAAATATAAGCAAATGGTAATAATAAATAGTAAATAAGGAATGCAATAAAATAGGAATAACAAGCGATTTTAGAACAGGTTAAGATTGATGGTGAACAAATGCAATAACGACGAAAGTTTATACAATAACATAGATAACCGAAGATATTCTCAAGTGGTTGTTCAATATGACATAGTGTAAAATCGTATACGATATTTGTAAATTCCTCAATTTCAGAATATAAATACAATAAATAATGATTGGATAACCATGAGAATGTTAAACGTTTTTTTTTCATTACACATATCTCAAAAATTGTCAAATAAAAGAATGATTATTACTTCTAAATTAGTAATTCGCTTACTAACTGGATAAATAGAACAAAATACAATTGCGAGAGTAAATTTTAATTTTATAGATCTTTTACAAGTCTCTTGAATGTTATAGGTTTAGATTTTTAGCAAAATGAACTAAACAGTCAAATAAATTTTCCTTTTTACAGTAAATTATAAAAAGGGCAGATCAATCGATTGATCGGAAAACGATTATACAGACAAAGAAAAACAATTTCCATTGGTCACTGTGATTTCATTGACATTTCGCGTTATCCCTAAATCAATTTTCTTCAACTTTCTTCCAGTGTTGGGTGACATCTTCAAAATACAATGCTACATGGTAACACCAAGATATAGCATCAGTGTCTATTTCAAAACGAATAGAAAAATGTTAACGTGTAGTAAGAAGACCGGTAAGAGAAGATACAATGGCACTGTAAAATGAATTTCCAACTACTTAAAGTCCACGTATAATCGAATTTTTTCATGTGTTTAACATAAACTTTTCATTGAACTTACAAAAAAAATGCACAAAGTTTTACTCTACTAGTCATCACATTAGAATATGAAAGTCAAAATATAAAACTTTCATTAAAATTCCTTTCAATAACCGCCCACGTCAACGTAAATAACATTGATACTGGCGCTTAATGGAAGAAACTTTAATGAAAGTTTATCTTGACCGAATATAAATCTAGAAATGAAATGCAAATACTACATGCCGGTCAGCAGGCTATTTAATAATGATGGGCGATATTGATATTGCTGTCCAGTGCCAAATATACGATAGAAGGCAATCGCTACAGTGTAATGGAAATAGTGCACCAATTATTTTGTCTATATCTTTTATTGACTAATGTAATAGATCTGGTTACTGTCCCGAAATATTACGGTTGATGTGTCACAAAAGTCATGCTAAAAGTATCACAATGTTGAAATAAAAATTTAGTGGCACGTTTTTACTGTGTCAGTATCACATTTTTAATATGTTACGCTGTTAGTGTAATATCAAATAAAACAAGGCACTGTTACACTTTTACCGTGTCAGTAATATTTATGATGTTGACATATTTCGACCGTGGCATCATCTTAAACATCACATTGCTATATTTCCGCGAGTCACTGCAACATTTTTAACTTAAAACCGTTGCAAAGAAAAACTGTGTCTTCGTTTTTTCCAATGACTCATCAATTAATCCATGAGGGGATTTCTTTAGCAGCTGCTCCGCCTATACATCTGGCGTTCCTCACGTTCTTGTAAATAGTGCGGTAATATTATAGCTGGTGCTCCCCTATGGTCAAAAAATGGATTAAGACTGTGGTTTGAGTCTTTTACTGTGGAAATGAAAGAATAAACAATAAGAAAAACAGACAGAAGTGCAAAAACAATTGTTCTTAACATTATCAATGTGAAAATTTACCAATAGGAAATCAAAGAAAGTAGCTGATCTTATTTCGATAAGTCAAAAGTGATCAAATGCAGATTCTTGAACAAAGGTAACTTGGAGTTATATTGTTTTATATAATAACACCCTCACACGATACCTAGAAATAAAGTTAAGTCAGCATAAATAATAGTAGCTAGAAGTCGAGATACCCACTTACCATTCTTTAAAAGTCTTTTCAGGTTTACCGTCTCTCATTTCTGATTCACATTTGGGATATTGAGGATCTTCACTTTCTAATACTAATTTTTGCTCACGAAGTTAAGTACAGAAAGCTTCTTGTTGTCATTAAGAATCGAATAAAATTCATGAAAGTTTGTTGGCATTCTGAAGTTGTGCCTTTTAACCAGTGTGAGAAATATTCATATATATACTCTTCCAACAATATAACTTCAACTTACTGTTGTTCAAGAATCCGCATTTGATCATTTTGACATATCGAAATAAGATCAGCTACTTTCTTTTATTTCTTATTGATCCCTTTTAATAAATTTTCACATTAATAATGTTAAGAACTATTGTTTTTGTTTTTCTTATTGTTTATTCTTTCATTTCTGTAGTAAAAGACAAACGCACGTTTCCTCCAACGATCATTGTTCTTTTTACTTTTTGACCTTATGCTTACGTCTTCAACCTACGAATTCATCGAGTAGAAATCTCAAGCTCAGCTAGAATAAGTGGATCGTAGATGATTATTTTTCTATAAAAAATCTTAGTCTCTGTCAAGCACACGATGATGCACCCGTGATAACATCGTAAGAGGACGTGACGAAAATTAAAAAAGAATACACATTGAATTTTGGACCTTTAGCGTGAGTGAGTTTTTGATGGTTTTGTCGTTACTTTTTGTTTACATGATGGGGTAAGTTGAGCTTGATTCTCTTCATCAGTATGATTAATTTTTTGATTTTTAATGAATATTTCAGACCTTAATTTAATATAAGTTAACTCAAGCAATTTTTAGCAGCTGGATGTTATTCATACTCATAAGTATAGTCTCTAATATTGTACAGCGAGTCAAGCAAATAACGTGTAAAAAAGTTTAGTTCTCTTGCAGTAGCGTTGAAACGTTACAAGCAATTGTACGTCTTCTCTGATTTATGCCGAAGGAACGAACAATAATAGCTGAGCTTCATGAAATAGAAGTTGCTTAATTTTGACTTGTTCTTTCACTAGACAGACACTTTGATCTGGTGATTTTCTCTCTCTTTCACTTTCTTTTTCTAAATAAACAATTTTTTTCTATAGATTAATTTATTGTAGATGATCTCACCTGGCACTAAAGTATATTTATTCTGTTGCACTAAATCAGATTGACAAGCTTGAGTTTGGTATTTATTTAGAAAAAGGGTAAGGAAGCAACGAAAGGTGAAAAACAGATAGTTAAAGAGAATCAAGACACGATTCAATTTTATCGAAACATATTGGCTATTTCAAATGTAAGTCTAGTTTTTTACACATATTAGTAACTATTCAGCAGTTATGATTAGTTAGCAATAACTATAACTGTTGCAATCGTTACTAGTGAAAAGCTTATCAGCGCAGACCCTAGGTCTAGGTATTCATATTCTTCTCTAAATAGTTTAAAATAGGATGATTTAAAAATAGTTTAAAATAGGATGATTTAAAAATAGTTTTAAACTTATTTTATTTTTAACCATTACACAAGCGGACAACAGTTTATGAATCCGGTGATAAATCAAAATATTTATAAATAATTCGTTATAAATTGATTTTATAAAACTGTTTAAAACTGTTTCAACTTTTGAAAAATACTTTCGAACTTTTCAGTGGTATTCTTTTACATTTTCAAGGCCGTGTTTATACTCGTTCATTCAATATTCATTTTTATCTATGGAATTCAAAAATTTTCGTTGGTAAGTAAATAATTATTTTATATGAAAAATTATTAAAATTTTTTCGTTCTACTATAGTTTTGGTTTGCTATATCAGCAGCCTGTTCATGGTACGTATGGCGGTTTATGAGAAATATCGGTTCACCTGGATCATCAACGTCCACACCATCGTTTTTCGGTGGTGGAAGTGGTGTAACCGATTTAAATTTATCCGGAAGTTTAGCTGAGTAAGTTATTTTTAATAAATGTAATATTTAGAAGCTAAATTGAACTATTTTCTATTTTAGATATTGTAAGGATGTAATTATTGTTATTATTTTTACGCAAATGATCAGTTTATTACATGTCTATCTCTGGTGGATACTATTGATCGTAAGTATTTTGATGGATAATGTTTCCACTGTAGTAATGTAACATTCAGAATTTCATTTGATCAATTTATAACTATTTAACGATACACATTATTTTGTTTAGATTCCTCTTTATGCTGCATATAAGTTAATCAAAATGTTTGTATATTCTCCGTTTGGCGGATTGGGAGGTGGAAGTGGTGGCGAAGGTGAACAAGATCAACAAAAAAAATCTAAACGAAAGATTGTTCGTGCTGTTCGATAGTTATGGAATAAATGAAAGTTTCCTTTTACTGGTGATGTTATTGTTGTTCTTTATCGTATCTTTTAGTTGTTATTTTATTTTTAATTTTTAAGTAAAACGGAATAAATGATAAATATTCTTTTTTCGTTTATTAGTCAGGTTTATCTTACCTATTGCTATCAGGCAACTAAGGGCGAGGACAGATATGTTAGATCTCTGACTCTAAAGAAATCTGATTTCTTTCGATGAGAAATACGGTAGTTTAATGTTGAAAATATATTTCACATCTTAATTTCCCCAGATTCTGATAACAACTTTTTAATGGCTGAACAAGATATTTTTTTCTCGCATTACGGCTTTTAATATGTTCTGTCGAGAGAGAAAACAAAGTTTTAAATCCAGTAAAATGTTTTCAATTCTTCAATCTTCTGTTGAAGGTCAGTAGAAATAATACAGAGATTAATCCTGAAGACTTTATATCTTACTTTTCCATTTTTTCCTTTGTGTTCTGTAAGCGATGATAGATCCATCAGTCAGAAGAAAGCTCATAGTTGACCATTCATCGCAGTCGATATTTCTTTGTCATATTTATAATCAGTCGCAGTTGTGTACCTTTCACATCCGCTCCTGCGGAACGTGTGTTTTCTTTCGATGGAATGTGTTCAAGCGATCCCATGTCAGCCAACTCTCTAAGAATATACTCGCTATGTTGACTCTAATCAAATGCAATCGACACTTCCCTTTTTCCACTATTTCATGCTGCAGATCAAACTGTGGTCTAAAAGTATTGTACATAAAAATTTTCTTGTTGATATTCCGTATATGCTGTGAAAGAGAATATGAACCCCGCAGATCATTGCAAAGCTACTTCAAAGAAATGCGAAAAATGTGCTTTTCCAATAAGATGAAAACTATTTTTAGCTGGAGCGAAGTTGGAGCTGGAGTGAGCGGGTGGAGTCAGAACGGAGCTGGAGCTGACCTGGAGTGAAAATTTTCTGATCTGAGCGGGTGCAGAAATTTCCTTGTTGGAACGGAGTCGAAACGGAGCGACTTAAAAATGCCTGGAGCGAAAGCGGAGCTGGAGCGAGAAAGGATCGAAGCTTTCCATCTCTGATTAAAATATCATTTTCTCAAAGTTAAACGTGGTATTCATTATTCTATATATTTAGAAGCATGTTGATCACTAGATTTTGGAAAGATGTGATCTAAAAAATGTTCAGTTTTTTTGTAGAGGAGAGATCCATAGGCGATTAAAATCTGATATGAGACTTTAAAAAAGCTAAGTAGTGAAACATGCTCTAGACATCTGTCTGCTATGTTTCATAATGAAAACAATCAGATTTCATAGAGAGCAGAAATCTAGTTTACCCGCCCTCTTTCATGTGATCTTCTAAAAGTTAAAACTGTGCGCTCCCCTACCAAACTATTTTCACTCTTTTCCGATCACGACGCCACTCGTTCATAGTATGAATGATGAAATAATCGAAGAATTAGTACACGAAGTGTACAACTGTGCGATTACACCTTATACTAATTCATCTTTTAGTAGAACAGTTGACTTGTTTATCTTTTTAAAGTCTACGAGAAACCCTCTCCAGGACAGCATTTTCGATTGCTTCTTCCATAGAATACAGTTTTTCATGGGTTACTTTCAATGCTGATCACTATCTGATGAATCTGATATCTGTTGCTGCTGGTATGTCTTTCAAATACCGTTCTATGGAAATCGAATCTCTCGTTATCCATTCCAAACTTTGGAATGAAAAGATTCTAATACGTTCACAGTTTAGAACTGGTTGACTTACACATATGGAACAGTTTTCAGATCGAACGAACAAGTTCTCGGAGAGACATAATGCTGATGCGATACCAAATGCTGTGTCTTTGAAAATCCACTGGAACTGTTCTACACATGAAACTCAGCTCTAAAATGTGAACATATTAGAACTTTTTATTCCAAACTGTGGAATAAATAACGAGAGATTCGATTTCCATAGAACGGTATTTGAAAGACATACCAGCAGCAACAGATACCAGATTCATCAGATAGTGATCAGCATTGAAAGTAACCCATGAAAAACTGTATTCTATGGAAGAAGCGATTTATTACAGTGTAAAAGGAAAGAGTGTAAATCTAGTACCGAAACTTTCTACCCTCTACGTCATGCTACCACACGTACACAAGTAACTGTGACGCAAGTTTTGTTCATGACCGTGAATTTGTTCATAAGGAAAACTAATGTATTGTTGATTACGAAAGTAAATTCACTTTCTATCAATGAAAAGATGTGCATATGCTTCAGCATTTAATTCGATTTATCGATTAAATAAATACAAAGAGGAAAATTTCTGAGCAACAATAATGCACACACGAATGTCATTTCATAGGAATGTTCTAATTTAATCAGTGCTTTGGAAAGAACGCCACGTGTTTCCAGGTTAAGAAGATGGTTTTCGACTCGGTTGTCACGGATGTATACGCACTTCGTTTTGAATTGGCATATGAGTGCGTCTCATTTGAGTGTGTTGCAGTTTAGTGTGTGTTTTTTTAGCGCGTCTCATTTGAGTGCGTTCTCATTTGGGTGCACTCCCATTTTAGTGCGTCTCATTTGAGCGCATTCTCATTTTAGTGCGTCTTATTTGGGTGCGTATTTTTTTTTTCGATTTTCCATTAAAAAAGACAAATGCTAATGGTAATAGTTTATTATGGAATAGACCGAAAAATGAGAATAATTCTGTAAAAAGGTGTTCCACCGGCCTGTGACGTTGGTACAACTTTAAAGTTGCCATCAACATGGACTTCTGTAGCATTAAACAAGAAACGAAGCCCGTGTTCTCTTGTGAGTAGCACATATCCTGAACGCGAAATTAAAGCATTTAAGAATAAGAAAATCGAAAGGTTTCCTCTTACCTGAATTTTGAATTTGTAAGAAATTTTCTCCTGTACGCAATTTTCCATATTTATCCGGAATACAAAGATTTCGCCACGATGTTGGTGTCGGTGATTCATTTTTATTTCCTTTATGTCGATATAATGTAGACCTAAGACTTTCAAAACTGGGTATTGCGGCTGCTATTTGCGGATCCGTGACAATTTGACTAGATGCTTGAAAAGCAGCGTATGGAAGTTGATGCTCACATCTTTTTTTCATATCAACAACAAATTTTTCAACAGCAAGTTTTTCTGGATCTGGACCGTGCGAATGTGGAGTTCCTTTGAGAAGACGTACGTTTTATAGATTTAAGCTTCTTTTCTTTATAATAAGAGTTACTTACTCAAATCTGGTTTTATATAATCTTTAGTGTTAAGACCACCAGGACAACCGTATTCCCGACAATTCCATGAGATAGATTCTTTTTGATGGCGTTCAGTTTCTATAACCTTCAAATTGAACTGCTTGTTTACCACGGCCTGTTTCGGATATTTCAACTTTAGCCATATTTCTTGACTTACAAAAGAACAAATCAGACGATGTACAAAGAAACGGTGACTGCTATACGAGTTCTGTTGAATGCAAATTAAAAGAAAAGTTTTTCGATTACAGATACATGTGTTGTATCTGAATTTCAACAAAAGGAGAGTAAACACAGATCAACGTTCACATATTCTCTAAACCATTATGCATTGTGAAAGTCAACATGCAGGTTAATTTGACCCAGACACTTTCAAAATCTATCAATTTGAAAAAAGCACTCATATAGCAGTCAGTCATCGTCGCTTTTTACATAGTAAGATCTTCTGTTTTCTAAGTCAAGCAATATGGCTGAAGTTGAAATATCCGAAACAGACCTTGGTAAACAAGTAGTTCAATTTCAAGGATATAGTTATAGAATTGAACGTCATTAAAAAAGAATCGATCTCATGGAAATGTCGGGTATATGGTTGTCCTGGCCATCTTAACACTCTTAAAGATTATATGGACCAGATTTGAGTAAGTAACTCTTATTATAATGATAAGGGAGCTTATATCTATAAAATGCATGTCTTCTTAAAGGAATCTACATTCGCACGACCGAGATTCAAGATAAAAAAGGAAGGAACCACCGCTACCAACATCGTTACGAAAACTTTGTATTCCGGATAAATATGGAAAATTGTGTACAGTTAAAAAAAGGGAAATTTTCAAGAGAAAATTTCAAAACACGAATAAGAGAGAACCTTTCGATATCAATCAGGCCTTATAACATAGTCTTCAAAATATCGGTCTGCAGCAAGAGTATGCGAATGATGCTGTTCAAAAATATTGTAAGCTACGCTATTTCTTTTTTTACTATAAAAGATTACTAAGAATTAATCTCAAACAGTGGTGACGGAAACAATTCAAATGTTTAAAAATATTTTGAGGAATGAGTTGTGTAATTGAAAACGCACTCAAATAAGACGCACTAAACTAAGGCACTAAAATGAAACGCACTAAAATGCAACGCACTCAAGTGAAGCCCCACCGAATTACCTTTAATATATTATATGGCTACGAATGCTACAGTTCTTATTCATTACGCACAAAAACTACTACACATGTCGCGAAAAATATTGATGAAAAGGTAATTCATATATATTAAATATATATAGGTAATTCATATATTCAAATATATTAAAGGTAATTCAGTCGCCAAACATACGGCGTTTTTTTACGATCAGTCCTTTTTACAATATTTGCCTCTCTTTTTTTATCAACATTCTGAAATTGATCTTTAAGTTTAAGAAAAATTCACATTCAAAGTCAACAATACGAAATACACGTTAACTCAAGTTTGCACGACTCGGAGCGTTTTACGACTTTATTAATTTTTAAGTTTTTAGTCAAGACTCTGAAAAACGTCAATTTCTTGTAACTGAGCTTTATTAATTTCTTTTGTTTCATGACCTTCAAAATGTTTCATATACTTAGCCTGATAGAACAAACTGTTCTCTTCACAATGAGACTGTTTCAGGAATTTTCCAAGTGCCTTACAAAAAGTGACTCGTTTAATGTTATCTGTAATTCAAAAAACAGTGGTGATTCCAATCCATTCACATTATGAAAAAATGGTCCGATTGAGTCCATATTTTTCCTATGGATACTTTAGACTATCTGAGATTCAGAATTCTTTTAAAGGATTTTCAACTTCATTTTCCATCGTGAGAAGGTTTTTAAAATCAAAAACCAAGTTTTCTCAAAGGCTTTTTAGCATTTCTAAATATCTCGATAAAGAAAACATATTTATCGAAATCTAGAATCAGAAATAGAGTCTGAAGTATCTGTGATAAAAATATGGACTCGACTAGATAATTTTTTCGAGGAGTCTTAATGTAACTGGGTGAAATCAGGATCTTCAAAAAAAATAATATAGAAATTTTTCTTTTCGATGTTCCATCGCTGGTATAAATTTTTGTGTCAATTGGACATTGTCTTCTACCTCTTTCAACAGGGTGGAAAAAGGGGGATGGGATCCTTAAAGATTTTCGTGAGAAGCAAATAGACAACCCTGTGTACTCGACGGTAGAGAATTGTTGCTAACGCCGTACCTGTTACCATAAAACAAATGATTGCGTCTGAAGGCGGTAAAAAACGCCACATAGCGTCTCTACCAAAAAAGTTTTATCGTCACAGATGTTATTTTAAACTTTATTATAGAAATCGTTGTGAATGTGACCCTCGAATGATTAACTATCCATTAGCGGAGGAAGTTAACAATTACACAAAATAATTACAACATGGCTGGATTAGAAGTATTAATGTAGAACAAAGAAATGTACGAAAACTAGAAAAAACAAATTATGTTGAAAGAAAACTTAATATTAGTAGAAAATATGAGTGAATTTTTCCTCCATTAAAACTACGAAAAGAAAGATAGAGAAAATAATATTAGCTGCTTAGCATTAGGATCAAAATACGAACGATAGAACTGACATTATCCAAATCTTTCCGTGTGATCAATAAATAGGTTAACGTCATCAGGTATCACTGAGGATTAGAGCCCATCGGGTCCATGAGTTTTGGACCCAGACCCGGGTCCGGGTCGGACCCGATGGGCTCTACTGAGGATGCATCTTGAGTCAGCATTCCCATAATTTAACGATAGAACATCTGTAGACATCATTTTAACGAATTTTAATAAAAATTCGTTTTTTCTGTTCGATATGGTTGATATGTCAAACAGTTTATTCTTTAGTGTCACTTTACATACTAATGTATATCGTTTAATTCGGAGGGAGATCATAGTATCTATTCTCGAGCTAGTCTAGAGCAAAATTATTGAATAATTTCATTGCCCGTTCTCAAAAATTAGTCTAATAGTTTGTTTCTGGGATTCATGTATTTTTCTCTTCTCTTTTATAGATAAATGACACCTCTAGCAGCACTCATTCAAACATTAGCCATTATCATTAAACACTGGATTTATTTTTTTATTGAACTGTGCAAAGGTGGTCATCCATTAAAAGATCTAAGCAGGGAAATTGTTTTAGTCACTGGTGCCGGATCAGGTCTTGGGCGTGGTTTAGCTCAACGGTTCGCATCCTTTGGTTGTACGGTAGTTTTATGGGATGTAGATGAAGAAAACAATAAGCAAACAGCAGAAATGATTAATAAAACTGGTCAAAAGAATGTACATGCATTCAAATGTGATTTAAGAAATAAAGAAGATATATATCGTTGTGCTAAGATTGTACGTAGTACTGGAATATTCTATACAAACTGAATAATGCGTAATCATTGTAGATTCGTGATACAGTTGGTAATGTGACAATGATCGTCAATAATGCTGGTGTTGTGTCTGGAAAGACATTAATGGAAACAAGTGATGAATTAATTCAAAGAACATTCGATGTAAATGTGATAGCACACTTCTGGGTAAATGATTAAACTTTACATTATGTAAACTTCTTCTAAACTTGCTTCTACATGCAAGGTATCTTGCCTTACGGCTACTCTTACTTTCGTGGAATGATTAGAGAGTCAATCTCAAAAGTTTGACATCTTCTCTACAGTTGATAAACTCCTAACATGGACATCTTTATCGATACTAATCATCTACTGTGTGACAGTCTTTTTTCGTTTTATTCTCGTTTTATTTTTTGTGCTAAAGGTTCTTAAAGCATTTTTGGGTTCCATGTTGGATGAAAATCATGGACATGTGGTTAGTATTGCTTCCGGTGCAGGATTGATAGGTCGGTATTTGGGGGGAACATTGTTCTTATTTTTTGCCTATATTAATAGTCACTAACTTGAAACCCTTAAAAAACAAATATAACTTTTCTCTTTCATCGATTTTATTTATAGGTGTGCCAAATCTGGTTGATTATTGCTCAAGTAAATACGCTGCAGTTGGGTTACACGAAGCATTAACGTAGGCGTCGAATCATTATTAACTTAAAATTGACCGTTCATCGTTGACATTTTAGGGCTGAATTACATCATCTGAAAAAAACGGGTATAAAAACGACAGTAGTTTGTCCATCATTTATTAATACTGGAATGTTTGAAGGTATTAAAACAGCGTAAGTAGAATAATAAGATAATTATTTCCAAGTAACAATCTAACTTTCTACTTTAGTGAAGTAGCCCCATTATTAAATGAAAACGACGTTTGTGATGAAATTATTAATGCTGTTCGAAAAGATGAATACATGCTTTTATTACCGAAAACACTAATTTTATCCGTTGTGTTAACAGGGTAAAAAATAAAAGGAATTATAGTAGTTTTCTACTTATTTGTGAAACACACATAACTCCGCTAGCAATATCTTTGAGGCAAGATCACTTTATAGTATTTTAGACTGTCATGATATAATATGCAAGGCTATTCCTCAAAGTGATCACATAATCACCGAAGATTTTATTAGATTGTACTCATTCTGCAGACAGATGTTATAAAATTTATTTAATTTTAGCATATCTCCGACTGCTGCAACCCTCGAATGTCAAGATCGTTTGGGTTTATCTCATTCAATGGATACATTTCGTGGTCGTCAAAAGTGATTATAGAAATAACGACATTGCTGATGCTTGGTTTTTTTTCTAACATTTACGCCTTTTAATTTATATATTTATATACATCGATCAAAGGAAATTCGTTTAAAGTCATTCTTTCCTACCCAGTTTGTAGAAGTATTTATAGTCTTTTTTTAAATAAAATTTTCACGTTTCTATCGAATTTGATAGATACAATAGCTGTGAAGCGTCAGTTTTGATACTCGTGTAGACCTACTAGCATTTGTTCTTATTTAGGTTTTTCGATAGACGTACAAGATGGATTAAAGTCTAGTTGAAGGAGAGAAATACTACTTTTTATCCCAAATTACTCTTTTTAGCACACGAGCGAAATGGGCACACTTCTCATGATACACTTTTGTTCCTTTTTTAGATGTTCAATTTATTCTAAAATATGATAGATTGGATATTAAGTGTATTTCTTTTTAGTTCATTTACATTTCTTATATCATTTAGTTTATGTTTTTGTTTAAAACGTGATCGTGCAACATACAGTGTATCAAGTGGAGGTGGTGTGGTTGCGTTCAATAATACCAACACAAATGTTATATCAAGAAATCATAACGATTTAACAATTGCGCATGATACAATCGATAACAATGGACAAAGAAGATTGTATTCAAATGATATAGATGGATACGACAACATACTCGGATCAGGTGATGGAGAAATTCGACCGTTACCACCGTCAGTTCATCGTGATTCTACAAGTTCGACGGAAGACGGTTATACGAAATTAAAGGAATCAATAGCAACCGCAACAACAACAACAACAACAATAAAACCTAGCATCGAGGAACCACCACTGTATACTGCTGTGCTGCCTCGCATGAGGCCACCAGTGCTTGTTAATAGTAGTATAAATAATAATACTGCAGTGACTGCCGCCGTTGCGCTGCCTAAAGGTTGTTCTCCATCGTCAATCATACAGACTTCGAGATTATCTCCACATGAAAATAATAATTCTCAAATGTTGACTGGTTTCACTACTGGTCAATATGAACAAAATCAACCACTTCCACCACTCAATCGTCTTCCACCAATGCCACTGTCGTTAGATCAACTCTATGCTGGTAATAGCAATGATTCTCTTCGTAAACCACAATATACTGAATTAATAACAAGAGAATCTTTACAGTATCGGGAACAACATTTAGGGCAGTCAGCAGAAAATTATTATTCTTCTGTACACAGTGAAGGAACAGGACCGACAAGTGACTTATATGCAGAAATTGCTAACAGTAGTGCATCTGGTACTGTTCCAACACAATATCAAAATCGAACAACAACAAATCGTCAACCAATTTATTATAGTGACGATCAGTCGGAACGTTATGCTGTTATTGAAAGTGATTCCCATCTAATAGCACTACCAGATCCAACAAGAATTTATCATGAATTGGATCCTTTAACAACAACAACAACAGCTCCAGATTCAACATCAATAACAATGAAACTTTAAAATTATATCTAATCTTCATTTTGGTACATCTTAATAAATAGTTAAAGAAGCAGACTGTATTAAATCATTAGCTATCAGGTTTGCTTTCGCTTTCGGTAAAATACCATTTCTTTTCATCTCTTATGTATCTTTATATGTTAAATGCTTTTTTTATGCTTGACTGCTGGAGAGTTTCCATATTTACGTGTATATTTGTGTTATTCAAGTATTATGCTCTTTGTTAGCTTAAAAAAATTTTTTTTATACAACATTTTGTACAGTTTATTGTTTATGTTGTGTTTCATATTTTTCTCTATATTTTGATTTATATCAGAAAGACCAGGCTTGTTTTTCTGCTGATTATACAGTGAGAATAATTTCTATCTAAACACTTTTACATTCTTATTTTTGCAAGATCCATATTGCTTTACTGTAAACATTGTATTGATATTTTATGTTGAACATTACAGCAAATAAAATACTGTGCAATTATTTTTAATTTGCAATCTAGGCTTTAATAACGGCTGATCTACAACAAATTATACTGATAAAAGTAAAAAAGTTTTGAAAGTGCAATTTCTAGGTTTTTTGGTCATCTCAAAAAAATTATCACCATAGTTATTTTCAGAAAACAATTTTAAAAACTGCTGTATATGACGGGTGAAAACCTGTTCTCTATAGACTCTATTAGTTATCACGATTTATAAAACGATAATCCTTTGTATTGAGAGGATGGACGCGCTCATACGTCAACCTATAGAGTTAAGGTCATCCGAAGACGTAATGAATGGTGCGTCTCCTTCTATCCTGAGAAACAAACAAAGACAATAATAGTGAAATATTGATCGCGAAATTACATATCAATATCTCCATACGACAATAAAAATTGGTTTAAAATTTGTGTTCATAATTTTAAATGTAGTCAAAACTTTATCAAACGTTAAAATTGTCAACGACGAGTAATAAATTTGAACATAACACAAACAATGCGCACAGACAATTTTTGGTCGTGTCATACTCAATTTTTAGGGCAGACTTTCAGAATGAGGGCGACTCATAAGAAGATAAATCGGCGTTTAAATTTGACTATAACTTCTTTTCTAGCCATATTGTGTAGTTGGCCGTACCATAGTTGAATAGACAATTTAAAACTATTTAACTAATAAACTGATTGTTATCTACTACTTTGACTTTAATCAGTTTACGGGCGTTTTTTTAGTTCACTTGTTCCTTGAATGATGACTGGGATCACTGTTTCTAGTTTTTTCCTATACTAAATAAGAGGACGCAACTCTAATATACCAAAAGAAACCTCTTTTCAGGGCTACAGTTCTATGGGTCATTTGGTCCCCGTGGGTTTAGGCCAAATTTAGAAGATAGGTTTATCAATATTATCATATAGGCATGTTTTGCATGAGATTGTAATGATGTTTTTCTTTCTATGATCAGAGTTCTTGGCTTACTAATGATGGAATGGGTAGTTTTATGAACAATCTATTCATTAGAATACGTATAGTTCTATGTAACGGTTAATATTTTACATTAATCCTATTCTGTCATCGGTGTATTTGAAGATATGCAATTTAACTTTATAACTCATATTTCTGACGCTCTTCGGATATCCTGTTCGAGGTTGTTTGTTAAAATTCTTAAACGTACCATCCCCTCCTTTTTCATCCTCTTGGGAAAAGCGAAACCAAACGTCTGATCCAGTCAAAAAAAAGATATTTTCATTTACAGCTACATGTTTTTCCACTCATCCCAGTCTGATTGTGTACGCATAATACATCAGCTTCTCTTCAGTGCATTTATATATGTTTAAAATAAACATGGGTACTACTCATTTTATTTAGTTTGATTGAACTACTATCTACAGTAGGACAAAGATTATAAATTAACTCTTCTTGTCAGAAAACGCATGTACTGCAGACCTGACGCATTTGTTCATAGGATTCCTGTAATTTTTTATGCGTATCCAAATGTAATAGGTGAATATTTTGGTAATCCTTTATTCTGTTCAGTGAAGTAATAGAAAAGCAATATGTAAAATGATCTACGTAATACACATTTATTTACAGGAAAAAACTTGTACAACAGAATAAGACTAAAGCTAGAAAAATACTTCACTGCAATAAATTAATTCATAACAAACGGACAACAGACGATGAGACGAGTCATATTAATATGGACAACTTGTTCAGTAAAAGAATCCTGGATTATAAGAAAATGGCCACGATGGGGGTGTCATTGTTGGTGTTGAATTCGTGGGTGTTGATGTTTGAGGACGAGATTGATTTAAAAATCGAGGCGAACGTGTTTTATCTCGAGAACGTTTATTTTGAAACCAGACACGTATCACTTTTTCTTCCAGTGACAATTGTTTCGATAATAATTCCATTTGCGATGGATCCGGATATGATTGTTTAGCATAAAAACGATCCAATGTCCATTTTTGATTATCAGTAAACTGAGTACGATTCTTTTTCTTTCCATTCTAAAATAAAAAATTTAAGAATTATCACAGATGTTTGAAACGCACTACTTTTAAAATTATTTCATACACTATCCGTTTTAGTTTCTAATGAATCCACGGTCTTAATTGAAATTTGAGCATTTTCATCTTGAGATTCGTCACATAAGTCATTGTTGTCTATTAATGATGACATTTTCTCATTTCTTGATGTTCTCAATATTATTGAATCATAACCACTATCTTCTAAACATTACAAAATGCAGATTAAAATTAAACCGTACAAAAATTCTGTTTTATTTATTCCACTTACCTAGTCAGATTATCTAAAATATTTCCCATTAGGAGGTAAGGGAGAGATATTTACTTACTGTAATCATTCGTGTATTCATCTCTCTTCAAGCCACCTTCAAATCACCAGAGATAGAAAAAAAAAATATTTCGCTTACCATGTACACTGGAATTAGGAGTACTAGAACTGACAGCTAATTCATCAATACTTCTAAAATTTACTCTATTAAATGATTTTCTTTGTTGTGATGTGTGGGATGAAGATGGTGTTGATCGATTGAAAAGATTAAAACTGAACTTGGACGGTGCTGGCGATGGTGTTAAGAATAGTGGACTATTACATAACGATAAAACTGATAGTGGTGAATATGGACTAAAAACAAATAAATGATTGAAAATTAAATACATTCGTTACTCTGCAAACAAATATTATTTCAAATTAATTATACAACACTAAAATGTTTACCTGAAATTCGGAAAGGAATTTAGTACCGAGTTATTGCCGTTTTGACGATTACTAACATCAAAAAGTTTATCATTATCTAATTCAGGTGTATTTGATCTCGATGTATCATAAGCATCACTATTCTCCATCGATTCTAGACTTAATGGCGAATCATTGATACGGTCCTTTTCCTCCATAATTATTCCTTATAGACGATGAACTAAATGCGTCAAAAATTCATAAGTTATTATAATTACGCATCATAATCGACTAAAGATTCTATTCTATACCTGATTTTTCGTAGTTGTAAACTTGATACGAGAAGTTAGTTAAATGATATGGATGCACCAGATGCAAAGTCTATTAGTAATATACTACCGATAGAAAAAAAATTTCTCTTCTTCTTTCGTCTAGATAACCAATGAAAAACTGATGCGATTGAAATATATTTTTATTGGTAGAAAAAGAGAAATAAGACTGATTGGAAAAGAAGCCAAAATTAAACCGATTAGTTTTAGTGTACGGCCAGCCAGTAAGCGACTCTAATTGTTTGTTAATTGGTGAAATGACTTAATTGATTGACTCATTCTATTTATACTGAATACGTAAACAAAACATGTCGATTAAAATTGGTTTAACTAACAGATAGAGCAAAATATTTTCCTCTGGCAAGATAGAATTTCATGCTGTGAACCAGTGAAAACATGGACAAGGACAAGATGTTGTCTCTAAAAGATCGACAGTTTCTTGAAGATCGAATCACGTTACAAAAAAGATTAACAAATGATTGTTTGGATAGCTTTAATTCATTTCAAAACAAAATGGGATCGATTATGCTATAGCTTCTCAAACGATAAGAGCTAGCGGATTGCGCCTTTTGCGAATCTAAAGAGGAAAACTGACAATGTTTTTTCGCAAGTAAAACACATCGAAAAATCCTTCTCAAAAGTGGATTTCTGAGTGAATCTTGTGATACCAGTGTAGTTCTCCAAAAATAAAGTAGCAATAAAGTGGTTTTTTTTAGTGGGTATGAGAGATACTCTTCAAAATCAAGTCAAGTGAGATTTTGAAATATAATGGGAGCCACGAAATTATGGCGTTTAAGTTCTAAAAATTCTTCAAAAAATAAAAGTACAGATGATAAAGTTCTGATAACTGATAACTGATTCAGTTAACAGCAAGATCGCCAATTGGTAAGTAGTTTTGGAGTAATTTACTATTATTGCGGATAACAGAGTCATTCTAGTATGTACGGCGTTTGCTACAGTAGAATGTCATCCTGAAGTTATCAATAAAGAACGAAGAAAGAATACTGCTCTACCGTTATCAGTGTTGGTTACTACCAAATGACGGTTCCAGTATACTTGAAAGCTGTTCTATTGTGTGACAAAGTGTTCTTTTTGACTTCCCCATACACACTCGCTGACCATGTACTCACTTTCCGAAGGAACTGTATTGTATCTCACAACATAGTCAGTACGAGGAGTCGAGGCACTAAGACATATTCCAAATTTTCTAAAAAAAGTGTATTGGAGCCGATTCAGTTACTTATGGTAGTGAGATTTTAGCATGGTAGCCTAGATATTTTTCGAAATGTTGATTTTTATTTTGTGGATCGATCAACTAGTGCATTGAATTGTTGAGTGATTTGACAAGTATATTCAATATTTAGCAAAGTGTGTATCGTGTTGATAAATACATATTTTATTTCTTAAAAATATTTTTTCAAACAGTTACAAATGTATGTGTATGTCTAATAATCAACACGCTATGTAATCGAAATGAATCAAGATGATGATTTTTTCTATTAAGAATTTATTAAGAGGCACAGAAACAATATGAGAAACAAATCTATCTGTCGATCTAATAATTTTACCATTTTCTCAACAGTAAAAATACGATGCTGTCACATATAGATGGCCAGTTTCTCTAGAATAGAGAAAGAAAGATAACACATTTTAGCGATAAATGAGATGCTGTACTGTCGATATTTGTCAAATTAGCGAAGATAATTGTCTAGTCGTTCATACAGTAGCGACAAACTTCTCAACGACCTTGTTACAAAACTCAGTAGTGTTCAAATGCATGTTTAAAACAGAGTAATGAATTAAGATAATAAAAAGTGCTCTTTTCACAAGTTTTTCACATTTCATTTTTTTAGAATGATATTTATGCCAATATCAATATGACGTGAATTTGATCGAAGCTAGTAGAATGTATTGTATATAGCAAAAACCATGGGTAGCTGTTTGCCGACGATTAACTATATCCCGAGGTCATGTATGTATTCGATGATTGATCTACATAATCATTCTGTTCGGAAAAATTTTAGAAGAATAAAAGGTAGGTTGCTATCAACAATAAACCAATTAACCAACTAACGTGATATATGTAACGTTTAATAGAATAATGGTGATCGGTGTTCTAACGACGATAAAAAAAATTATTTAACGGAATGCTGTGTTTCATTATTGGTTTATTAGCTTATTGTTGTATTTTTAAGACTATTTAAAATTTGCATAATTTTAAGTGTACAAAACGGTCAAAATATGTATGATTCACCTGTTTTTGATGGTACCCACGAATATGATTTCCAGTTTGCATGAAAAGGTTCTTTTTGATTGTGAAAATATTAAAAAACATTGATGCTCACCAATTTTTAACAACATTTTGTAATTTTCAAAAAAAAAGCTTTTAAACTATGTCCATTAAGTAGAGTGTAAAAAGGTGTGTATTTGATATCGTTTTCATATTGGTTCCACTGTTCTTTAAGTAATGGTAAAAATAATTTCAAGTTTAGCTAAAAATTTTTGTAAAATTTTTCAGATTAATCTAGTTTTTCGAAATGTTAACATGGAAGCATTATCAAGATAATATTTTGAAAGAGTGAATATTTTTAAATATTAGTGATTTACCTTTATAATTTCAGATCGCTTTTTTTAAGGTGGAAGAGGCAAGCCAGCGTTCTCTGTATAGTTAAATCCAATTTTTTTGATGAAAATAACATCTTTTTGGATTTCAATGATAATATTTGAGATTAGCGTTAAAATTGCATCTATTCTATGATAACTTATAAGGATATGAATATAAACGTTTTTTAGAATTCGTGAACGGGTACCAAAGGCGCTAAAATCTGATATCGAAGTTTTAGGAAACTGAGTGGTGGAATACGATTCTAACATGACTAAGACACGGTTTTCACCATAAAAAGTGAAATTCACTGCCGGTAGTTTGCCACCGTCCTTTTATACATTCATTACTATAGCTTGATCTGACGACACATTCAAATTTAGTTAAATATACTTTGTCTATGCTCTATTAGTAGTATTATTCAATCACTTTTACACATTTTAGAGTAGCAAATGTCCACTTTCAATCATAATTTTAACTGGTTCAATACTACTACATTGAAATTAATGAAGAGATGCCAGAAATAGACGCTGAGAAAAAACAATCAAATCATTACGATTTTTTTTTATTATACAACGTTTTAAAAGCATATATTTGGTCATATATATGAAAGTTAATCTTTTAATTGACACAATCAAACTATTCCTCATTTTTGACTGAAATCAAATTCAGTATCAAAGCTTTAGTTTTCTTGTCTCTTTGGAACTAAAATATGTTAAAGAATTCAACATTAAAACTGACTGTCGAATATTTAAGGATACCTGCCCCTCTTTTGTTTGCAAAAAAACTTTTCATTTTGAGCTGAACATAGCCTAATGTAGAGGAAAGTCTGAGCTATAAAACGAGACCAATCCCAGCTCTCCATGACCTTCCTTGAAAAAACTATGAAGTTTTTAAGTTTTTCCTTCAAAGCCTTGGACATCTCAATTTTTTAGTTTTGTAAATTTTTCTCGCCTTTCCTATTTATTCAAAACTTTTTCTTATAAATAGCATGATAGAAGAAAGTGTGCTCTTCAAAATAAGATGTCGTTTTCGATGACTTTTTGTGAAGACATAAGATCACCACAAATGTCACGAAAAAGAGAGTCCTGTGTACAATATGTATTTTTCTCACTATGCGTTTTTTCGATAGTCCCTTCAATCAGGTGACATTACGACCCCTCCAAAAAATCGTCCAAACTTTCCAAGCTGAAAAATCGATTTACAGATTTTTTTATTGGTTATAGTGACAACAAAAATAAAATACTATAGGCATTTTGTAACCCTTGAAAATTGCCATCGACCGATCTTAATTTGAAAATTTTCATGTTCATCCTTGTGACGTACACCAATAATCTTTTCGAGAAATTAGCTGTTTCAATCTTCGATTTCAGAGTTCCTGGAAAAAGAGGCATAACTAAGCCAAAACAGGATGTTTTCATTATTTTAATGGAAAATTACTACTGTACCAGATTCAGAGGAGAAAAGTGAACTAAAATTCTCTTCTTCATTCAGCTGGCGGAAAATATCACATTTGGCCCATTTTGAGTAGGATTTTGAAAAATTAGAATTTTCGGTTTTCAACTTGATTGCAACTAATTGTGAGTCACACGGTGAGAAACAGCACACTTCAAAGTACTCAAAGACGTCTTCATCACTGTTTTTTGTTTTCGAAATTCTAAAAAAGATTCTAAACATTATTTGAAAAGTAGCTTGGAAAGTTTGTCCTTTTAAACTTGTTGAGTATTCATGTGTTCATATTTCTATTCCGCTTTGTACAGAAAAACATTTAATATAAGTCTTATAGAGAATTCAACAGGGTATCTTTTAATTCTAACCTGATCTCTCCGCGGCCAAAGCTGAGCGAGATATTCACGAAATACCAAGGCGCCATTATTTCTGGGACACCCGTTAAGCTAGGATCTAAACTATCTGTAGGAAAACTTTCACCTCGATCGGACCATTTTTTCGACAAATTGTAATGTGTCTGGATGAAAATAGTTTCTAATAGTTCTATAAAATAGAAGAACATGTCAGAAAATTTTGGGCAAAAATATATCGATTTTCTTTTTTCGATGTTCTATCTCTGCTATAAATTTCACCCCGATCAAACATCGGCTTCCCCGGTTTTCAAGAGGGTCAAAAAAGAGAGTGGTACCCTTAAGTAACTTTAGATCAAAGATAGTTAAAGAGTGACCAAATGACTAAAATCTGCCGTTCAAAAGAAGACTATAAATTTTCTGAGAAAAAGATCATAAAATCTAATCTGACAGTTTAGTTTCCAAGAGATCTGTGAAAAACCATTATCCAAGAGTTCTTAATTTTTTAATATTGCAACTGTTTGCATTTTCACATGGATAGACAGTCTCGAAAACCTTGTTCAAAATAAGGATCTTCTGATCTCTTCGTTTTTTTATTGTTTTGTTGTTTAACGCTTTCTAGTCAGCTGTTGTTATATGGTAACATTGTTCACTATGTTTTATAAATAACCGGCTGTAAAGGGTTTAACATACCATCGAATTCCTTGAGAACATCGAGATCAGTCTCAGTGACCTTTGTTCGAATACCTTTCGTGATTTCAAAACGTGATCGAATAGTCAGTTTCACATGCAAAACAAAGTTTGCTTACACCCGCATTTGAAAGTCGTCAAAAATTATGTATGTTTTCTCATCTGGTCTTCGAGAGAACTTTATAAATGAAAATAGATGTATTTTGCTCAAGCCAGTTTTAAAATCATGTTTTGCATGTACAAGTGACTATTCGGTCACGTTTTGAAGTGATCGAACGGAAACAAGTGACTACGATCACTATTCATTCACCAGATAGTATAATATCCTATTTATCAGCAATGTCGACCCTATTATAGTATCAAACCTAAAATAGTTGTTAAAAACATTTTCATTTGAATTTATTAGTAATTATTTATAATTGTTTATTCATCATCTTTCAATAACATGATGAAAATTTTAAACAACAAAACGCTTATCAGCGGTGATGTGCATCATAACTCTATTAAATGTGATATTTTTTAGTCCAACATTGTTTCAAATTTTTTCACAAATATAAGCAAGAAATGTCAATTTCAAATCTCGAACATCCTAAGAGTTTTTCATTCTTCTTATCATTAAAAATGTTGAGTGCATTTTTTTTCAGTGACTCGAATAAAATGTTGAAGAGTTAGTTATTTCATTTTATCAGTTTTGTCTTCTGTTGCAATTCGTCATATTGAGAAAGAATGATGACCCTTTCGTAGTCATTCATCAAGTACCGGTTTCTAAAAATTATTTCTGTCAGTCTTATAGCGTAACATTTTTTCTTCTCTCATGATCTACCTATTCTCAATTTGTTGAAACGTTTTTAATAGATGATCATTTGTTGAAGTCGTGATATGGGAAGTAGAAAATAGAATAAACATTGCATATACCTGTTGAAATAAAAAAGAGACAAAACAAAGAGTCAAAAAGACGAGCAGCAAAACAGATTATTTATTTAACTCTCAGTACAACGCATCAAAAACTGCTTGTTGTACCTTTCATGTAGGTTGAAAAATTAAATAATATATCGATGCTAATTTCTAGAGCATCTATGATATTAAATTAGTTAGTTTGTACTTTGTTCGATTACTTTTTATGATCAAGTCAAGAAGTTTTACTTTTATCTTATTCTACTTTTAGTTGTTCAACTCATAAGTCAAGTCATGTTTATACTAATATTTACCATATTATCTACATTAACGTCGGTTTTCATATCGGCTCAACAGCAAGTTGATAATTCTCTCAGTGTATGTATGCGTGATTTAGTTACGGAAGGATTAACGGCTCAGTATAATTATTTGGCATTGTCATCAAAATTTTGTGGTAGTCGTGGCTATCCTGGCTTTGGTAGTTTATTTGCTCACTTAAGCGATGAAGATTATTCGCATGCTGATAAAGTAGTCAAATTTATGGCATTGAGAAAAATGACGGTTGATCGTTTGATTAATCAAACCGGCATTAAAATTCATAGCGACATTTATAATGTAATGGATACAAGAAACGCTTTAACACAAGCTAAAGAGAATAATAAACGATCTTGGCGAGAATTAAATAGATGTCATCAGATTGCTGTAGATAAAAATGATTTTAATGTACAAGATTACTTGGAAACAACTTTGTTAGAACATCATGTTAAGGTTGAAAAACTATTATCCGATATGGAAAATCGTATTGATGAAGTTGAAGATGATCGAAAAGAATTAATTACCTTTATGATCGATGAAGAACTGTTGGAAACATATGGTGATAGAAGAACCAAAGTATGGTAGACACAGACTATTTCACCAGAGAACAGTCATGTACATTTTGTTCTAATTCAAGATAAAACACTCATAATCATATCGAAACTCGGTTAATTAAGACTGGTAGTTATAAAAAGGCTATTTCCATCCATCTAATGCAATAAAAAAACAAAACATAAAAAGTCGTACTATGATTAATGTAACTGAGTCTAATATCATCGTTAGATTGCTACTTTGGCTGATAGCTGATGCCGCTTTTTCGTTATTACAGACGTAGGTCTATAATCATGTGATGAACCAAAACAGTTTCATTTATTTTTTTTAATGATATTGTTACAAATAAAATAATAAAGAGGTTTACTTTAAGCAATCCGTTTATACACTATGTTTTCCAAAAATTCCGAGATGTCTCTCAAAAAACAGCATCCCAGATCCATGATTACGACCGTCCTATACGGTCGTATACGTCAAATTACGTCGTCGTAATTTGACGTATACTATAGTCTATCGTCGTATTTTGACGTAAACCCGGCCAACGTATTACGTCAGCCGTTACGACCGTCGTATTTCAACGTAAACGATGTCGTTTACGATGGACGTAATACGTTGGCCGGGTTTACGTCAAAATACGACGATAGACTATAGTATACGGCTGCAAATCTTTGACCTGGGATATCAGATTCTAACCAAGAATGTCGCCTGTAGTAGTAAGATAAAAGATATTTGACCGGTCTTTTTCGTTCTAACACATTTGTCAGTTAATTAATTCTATGTAATTGCTTACGCTGATTATGCACGTGATATTTATTTTAACGTTCCATTGCTGAAAATAGAAGAAATCCTTGAAATGCTTCTGAGAAAATCTGGTCGATCCCAGCAAGGACTTTTCAATGAAAAACTCCGTGCTCCAAACTTTTTCTCATTAATGATAGTTCTAAGTCCACACTACTTAGAAAATAAGTGAGAACGTTTGCTAATAAAGAGAACTGTGAGATGACAGCTTAAAACTGGTAAAAGCCAGGATTTTTTGCAAAACTACTCTTCAAAATTTATTCACATTTTTACTCTTTCAACAGTTTGTGACACGTGTTATCTCCATATATGCATCTTTAATTTATTCTTACTCAAGTCTAATCGATAGAAAGTTTTATTTGGTAAAAATATTAGCTCTTCGCTATGTATGTATGCAGTCATTTCGATTACACAGGAGGTGGGAAAAATCACTCGGATAGTTATTCACTAAAATTTTGAAACATGTAACTGGTCTAAAGTTTTTGGATCAGCAACAGGTACAGCAATATTGTCGATCGGACCGGACAGGTTCAGCGGGATCAATCGCAGGTCTGCCGGTAGACCAGCCGGCTTATGTCTTTTTCCTCGACCGGACTGAGACCGGCTACAACTATGCAACGAGTGACAGTATTTCAATTATATTATGCGCAGCAACAAAAAATCGTTAATATATGAGATTAGAGATGAAGCTATCCATCTATTCTGTGATTCTCAGTGAAGCCAGTTGCTGATAAAATTTGAGCGAACAACGGAATAGTAGCGGTGTGTTATAACGACAGAACCCCATCAGATACAAATAAAATGATGAGGGGGATTTTATCTTTATTGCAGACCAGGTTAAAGAGCAATGTTATTATGATTATATTGCCTTGTACCTGGTTTTTGAGAGGTTAGATTGATCTTGACAGTCCACAACATACTGAACCTTTCTTCAGGATATTGAGCTACATTTTTTTCTTAACCCACTCGATGACGGACGACTCGAAACCATAATTTTTTCTCTGTATCATTAGAAAAATAAACAAACAAGTTTTAATTTGCTACTATTTCCCGAAAAATTTCTGTAAGACCCTTCTATTCTACTCCTCATTGCTTGCTCTCATTCTAAAAGAATAGAAGGGGTAGAATAGAAGGGTCTTACAGAAATTTTTCGGGAAATAGTAGCAAATTAAAACTTGTTTGTTTATTTTTCTAATGATACAGAGAAAGAATCATGGTTTTGAGTCATCATCAAGTAGGTTAAAAAAAAAATTAAAATTAAAAAGAACAAGACAATATAATCATAATAACATTGCTCGTTAATCTGGTCTGCAATAAAGGTGAAATTCCCCTCATCATTTTTTTAAATAAGTTTTTCCGTACGTTAATAAACTCCTTTATTACGAGAACTGCCGTAGGATTTTAAGCAAGAAAAGAGTTTATCAAAAAAACCAAAAGGGTTTACGTTATTCATTCTCGTTACACAATCTACAATAAAAAGCGTCTGCAGAAGGGTTGAATTCACTTTGTTTATGGCTTACCTAACTGTGCTTGCGTAAGTTTCTGCGATATTTAGCGGTTAGAGCAAAACTGCTGAACTTTTACTTACGTTTTGCTTTTATTGTAGATTGTGTAACGAGAATGAATAGATCCCAACGGACAATCGATAATGTGTTTGTATGACTGAAAACATTTATTAATGATGAATGTATTATCAAAAAATTCAGAGGTAAACCCACCATTAGTTTTTTCTATCTCCTTTCCTAACGTCAGACAAGTATATTAAATCGCGTTAAAATATTTTTATTGTTTTATTAAACCATTCGATAATGATAACAAATGATTTTAATTTACATGTTCTGCAAAAATCGGGGATAATTTAATAACTTCAAACATTACTTCAGACATATAACAAGGTATCATTACCATGAAATTCAGATTCACATAGAGTCATGAAAAACCCTTCCGGAACGCTTTCAGAATACTGTCGTAAACCTCGGTATAGTTTCAGTTTCCCGAAAGCTTTAAGCGTTTTTTAAGATACGGATTTTCTACAGTACTGTATGATGATCTACGAAAAGATAATACAGACAGAACAGATGGAATGATCTCTATGCGAAGATAGATATAAGAAGTACTCCCATTAAAATAGTTAACCTCTTTTTAATAGAAACCACGTTCTAATCATCCTTGTGTCTCTCTGAAGTAAGTTTATATATTTGTCAAAAATTCTGAAAATATTTCAACTTATACTACTTGTAGACAAGAAGACTCATTCGAATTTTGTTTTAATTTATTTCTTAATGTTTTTCAACTGTCATGGAGCTGAAAAATTATCTGGATAAAAACAACATCATTTTTGATTATCAGTACGTTTTGTGTCTGCTCTTTAACATACAAACGAACACACATATACACGCATATATACAATGAGAGGAAAAAAAATGAGATTTTCAAAATGACGTACACAAAAATTAATAAAAATCAGGTTAGTTCATGAGCCGTTTGTGCCACGTGTATAAAAAATTCGACTTTATTTGCTTTTTGTTCACCACATTGAGCACATTTAAACGGATTTGATTGTGAATAATGTAATAATTTATGAATACAATATAAAGCAAAATCACGAAATAATATTTCACAATGAGAACATTCAAATAGTTTTTCAATTTGTTTTTCATCTACTTGTGTTTCTTGATCTTGTAAACGTAATAATTTTTGAGGATCATTTGTATCTTGTTGTTGATCATGATTTAAACGTTGTAATAAATCATTATTTGCTGCCTTTAGATCAGTTGCATCATTACTCATCTCATTATCATCTTCTTGTTCTTCGTCTTCTTCGTCTTCATCATTGTCCGATATCGCCGTTGTTGAATCTTGCTCTGTTTTCAATATTTTAAATGCTCGTCCTTTTCGTTTTCGTATACATTTAGAAATCGATGTGGTCAATGGACGTTTTAATTCTGACTTTATTTTAACATCGATTGGTTCAGATTTAATTCCATTGGTTAATGTCTCCGTTGATAAACGAGATGATGTAGTTAGTGATGTTGCCGACGCACCATTTAATAATGAAAATAAAGATGTTGTGTTATTATTGTTATTATCAATAAATGAATCATAGGCAGCTGACATTTGCTGTTGAAATTGTTGAGATAAAACATTCTGATATGTTTCGGACACAAACGTGCTAAGCTAAAATGAAAAAGAAAGTTGTGCTTTTACACATGTGTGTTCCCATGGAAACGAAGAATTGTTGTTCATTCAAACTTTCGATTGATACATACTTGTTGTTGAGAAAAACTGTTTGGTGATGATCCAAATGCAAATTTTCCATTAAATAATTCTAATAATTTTGACGTAGTATCATCAGTTAATGATCGATTAAGCAATTCATTCTTTCTTGCATGTTCAAATAGATGTATTCCTAATGATTGTTTGTTCGATGCTACATAATCACATAATGTACAAAGTAAACTAGTACTGTTACCTCTTGCTTGTGTCATTTGTAGAAGTAGATCGGTATCAATCGTTGGTGGTTGTTGCTGTTGTTGTTCTAAAATCGAGGTTGGTGATGTTGCTGATGCGGATAATGATTCTCGTTTACTCAAGAGTGATGCGGCTGCTTCCAAAGGAGATGATACCGGAGATGTAATAAGCGAATTAAACGGATTAATTTGTTGTTTTTGATTCCATGCCAATCGTTGTGACTGCTGTGTATTGATAAAATTATTTGCTGTAACGTAACTTGCCGCAGCAGCCACAGTCGCTGCTAATGTTCCACTAATGTGTGGTGTTGTTGATTGTTGTAAAGGTGGCGAAACACTCATCAGAGGTGGCGATATTGATTTATTACTAGATGATACGTCAGAACGTTGCCGTTTATTATTTCCATTGCGTGTTGTTATACCATTATTATTGATCGTTTTTTGACTATGTATTTTTTCTTGCTGTTGTGGAGGTGCTGTTGGTATGGTGGTATTTGTTCCAGCACCATATTCTTTAAGAAATTCTTCAACTGAACTATCTAAATGTGGTTCATGACCCTCAGTCTCAAGATGTACTTGTAATGCTTGATATTGCTTTGTTTCAAATGAACAATTACGACATTTGAATAATAAATGACGAAAATGTGATTTCATATGTGAACGTAACATTGATAAATTAACACAAGCATAATCGCATCTAAAAATTGAAACATGTGAGACTTTTTTTTATCAGCCATCCGAAGTCTAGTTTTTCAAGGTTCAAACCTTATAGAAACTTTGCAAACTCAAGAAAGAGAATTTTAATCTTACTTTGAACATTTGAATGGTTTTGATCCCAAATGATTTCTTAAATGATATTCAAGATGATGCTTATATTCTGTCACAAATGGACATGACGGACATTCTAATACTTTATCCGGACGAATGTGTGCGCGATGATGAGCCCAAAATTCTTCCTAAATAAAGAAAATTTAAATAGATGATACTATACTTTTACTGTTGTTGTACTTACTTTAACTGTTGATACAAATATACATTGTCGACAACGGTAAACTTTTGATCGTGGTGGTGTTGTTGACTTTCCATCTTCATTAGAATCTCGTTGATTAAATGTTGACGTATTACCATTTGTCGTTCCTACTGTTGCTACTGAAGGTGTTGGATTATTTCTCATGCCTGAATTGCTGTTTACCGTATTTGGTGGTTTAGATGTTTGTGGATGGGTAAGGACGTGTTCATCAAGACCAGATGAGGAATCACAGAAAAAACTATAACAAAAAAACATTGAAATATGTTAGGATCGTTTCTTAAAAATTTCTGATATATAAGCAAAAAAAATTCTTAGGGTGCATAGAGAGCATAGCATATCCAAGTATTTGAAATTATAAAGTATGCATTTTTGGCATTGTGTTTTATTAAGCATTAGTCCAAAGCTTTGAAAACAAGGACAAATTGTTTCGATAAGAGAATAGCAATAAAAGGCACAAGTCATCTCGGAGAAATGTTTTCTCTCATGATAGAAAATGCGGATCGAGCTTCTAACAGTGGAGATGCACGATGTTTACATGTATCTAGTTTAATTTTTTTCCCCGCAATAGAAAAGTTCTTAGTTTCAATTACGACGTTATCGCACTCTGTCATACAATTGCAGGGTACAAAACTAATCGAACCAGAAAGGTTGACGAAATAAATTCTGCCTTCCTTTTACAGTAAGTTTTCTCAAATTTTGGCACTAAAAATCGAAAATCTTTGTTTTTTAGAACGTGAAAGATTCTGTATAAAAAACGAGAGTTTTTCGCACGGCATTCTGCGCATGACTATGTGAATGGCAATTTCTTATAACAAAGTAAGAGATTCTCCTTTTTCTTTTGTTTTGGTCATGCGTCTGTACTGTATGAGAGCTGACGAGAATGCATTCTGCCAGTCCGCAAATGCCGCAAGTAAAGCAAAGCACAATGAGTGAAGCATAGTTTGAAAAAACGTCACTAAATGGTGAATGAAACGAAACTAATATTACAGATACTTCTCTACCTGACGCACGTTACTTTCTTCTACCATATCACCGATAGAAAAATAAAGTTCATTTAGAGTCACGGAAAAGTGCTTTTTCATATTCAGCACACTCGATAACCCAGAAGATTTTCTATTTTTGGCGAATAGAATATTTGGTACTGCCAAAAGTTTAGGAGAAATTTTCGAACAAAATGACGAAAGAAAATTTTCGGAAAAAATAATATTAGTTTCAAAATTTTTCTTAAACTTTGGCAGTACCCTTTGCTAAAAATAGAAAACTTACCGAGTGTGATGAATACGAAAAAGCACTTTTTCGCGACTCTGAATGAACTTTACGTTTTTCTTCACGTTGATATGCGATCTCCTTTAGCTTTTCGACTTAACGATAGAAGAACTTTTTTTTACAGGAAACAAAGAGAATCAGCTGATAACTTTGGTAGAATGACTCATTTTTCAAGCAGAACACATTTTCCGAAAACACACGTGAACTACGAAAAGCTCCCCTCATTTAAATAGTTCCCTTTTCTCTTCTAAAATAAAAGCAGTTGAAACTCATGTTTTATTGTAGTCTTTGTAGATTACTATATGAAATCTTTCGATTATTCAATTCAAATAAACAACTACATATCAATGTTTTCTATCTATATCCAGAAAAACATCTTTCTAACCATACGTTTTATAACGATAGCTCTATCTTCTTTTCTCAAGTATCATTCATGTTGCTGAGAACAGGTATACGAAGTTTATCAATCGTAAATAAGAACTGTGTAACAGAACAACTCTACCGATTAACGCTTTTCTGTACAAAAGAACAACTTTGAAAATACCTCTCTACATTGATCAACTCTATTTTTGTCATGATATGCACCGCAGTATGGATTTTTGTTTCATTTCTCAACAATATATATCGCCCGCACATATATTGTTCGGATATTACTCCTTTTTTGTTTCACTTCTTTTCATCGTAAAAATGGTAAAGAATTTTTCTTTGCGTACACACAACTGCACTCAACAAAAAACTTTTTTTGTTAACTATAAAAAAAGTATCTAAGTTCGCTTTTTTCCGTTTCTCTTTTTTTTTTTGTCTTTTATCAAAAAATCTAATAAAACAGTTTGTCGGCCTTGACCAAAAGAAATCGGCAAAAAAGTAGTTCTTATGTATTATTCTAACAACAAAAAAAAATAATTTATTCTTGCCTCATTCAGTACGATGAAAACTGTTAAAACTTGAAGAATAACCCTCTCTTTTTTTACTAACGAAATATGTTCTAATATGTAAAGATATCGTTCACAAAAACGATTTTCTGGTACAGAAAAGCTTCTCAGTAATAAAAATAGATTACGAATGACTAAATAAATACCATAGTTAAATTGAGACTCCTATGTCATATCAGATTATATTTATTTCTGTACATTTCAATACCTTGCATGATCCCTGACAATTAGTTAGATTCAGAGAATAACTTCTCCCTAGATTTTCCAATCTGTGAACTAAATGGTAGTCTCACTTCTTTTGTACATTATCCGCCAACTATGAAAAGTAATGTACGAAATTAATACGAAATTAATGTACGCAGGACAAAAACTATGTATAATGTTTTTAACATTCACTATAAAATTTACGTATGACAAATGACGAAACATGGCAACAGCAAAACAACAAGTATATTATGCAATATACATATAAATACTTACCATCAAATCGAATACACCTGTAAATATTAAATATTTCGTAATTATTTTCTCAGTGGTAAGTTCTTAAGATAGAGAATTCTATCGTTCAACTTTTGAGAGCAAACACGAGATTTAAGGTTAGATAGATCTTTTACATTGATGCAAACAATTGAATTTCTTACATACTTGCATGAGTAACACTTATAAGGATAATGAACCGAGATATGCTCGAGTAAATTGTCTTGCAATGCATCGAGACCACAACGAACACAATAAACTAAATTTTTAACTGGATCTAGTTGAAATAATTTCATTTGTTCATCAAGCGATGACAATTGTTTAGGCCATTCTAATTTTGTCAGCTGAAACATAAAAAGCAATTTGTCGTGGTCAGATTATAATTGTTACTGTATGGATTTTACCTTTCGTACATGGCCATCGTCTGTTTCTGAATATTTTCGATGAGAAATCTAAACAGAAGAAAATTCATTTTCAAAATATAAATTTTTGAATTTAATCTCATTTCTAACGTTAGAATTGTCATCATGATCATTTGAAGATTGCTGTTCGCTACCATTTGAATCATTTATTTCATCTGTAATTGGCTCATTTCCATTTTCATTTTCTTCCGCTTCTTGATGATTTCCATTTTGTGTCTAAAATAATGTGTTTAAAAATAGTTGTCAACATAGAATCAACAAGTGATATTTACATACCATTTGACTGTCATCCTCATTCATCGATTCAACCGAATTCTAAAGTAGATAAAATCGATTCGAATTACAAACTAATACCATTAATGAAACTTACCACAGTATTTGGTTTCTCAACACGTGCTGATAATGACCACGGACGCAATGGTTTTCGTCGCTAAAAAGTGACACAAGTTATTGTAACAACACGAAAAAACAAGTAGATACATACTCGAACACCTTTGACTTGTTGTTCGTTTTCATTTATCGACAGTGTTGTCGTTGATGGTTTGACTAACTATCAAAAAGTGAAAAATTCATTACAAAAAGAGAATCTTTAATCAGGATACTTACGGATAATGCTGTTTCAGAACATTCGTCTCCATGTTGTGATGAATCATCGCTACTATGCTGTGATGGAGACTTAAAAAATGTAGAGTCATTAGTATCAATATTTAAAAAGCAACAAGCCAACTTTACCTTCATTTTCTTTTCTTCAAACGTCGATATTTTTTTCATCAGCAATTGCTAGAATAAAATGAATACTGGTAAAAAATGTTATCTCTCTCTACTTCTTTATTAACAATACATACATATTTATTATCAATAACTATAGATTTTGAATTTTCAATTGCATTTGATTTTGTTGTTTTTAACTTTTCTTTTTCATGAAGATTGTTTATGTCAAATGAGACCATTCAAGAAAATAAAAAATTTAATGTCAGGAATACAATCTAAAACAGAACAATTAAAGTACATGAAGGATGATAAAAGTAAACTTTCAAGTTCTCTTATTTCTTAATAAAGAACCATAATTTCAGCGTAGTACACTACAAAACATTCTTCTGCCATAATCAATTGTCTTTAAAATGTTCAACGAGTTCTCTACTAGCATTGATTCAATATTTGTTCTTCATAGATTATTGAGTAAAAGTTTCACGCAAATAGAACTTTCCATAAAGTGATAGGTTAAGTTGTTTGAAAACAAGAAGTCATTTGTACTGAGAAAAGTGAATAGAAAAGTGCGCTTTCCGTTTTTTCGTAGAAACAGAAAGAAAAAAATCTTACTGAAAAGAGAAAGATCATACAGTCTAACTTGCGAACGAATGCCGTTCTCTTTGCTACTGTGATAGATTGAAATATTTACGAGATAAAAAGATGTCACTCGACTAAGGCAAATGTTTTATGGAGCTTAAGTTTACTATTTTTTAGTAACAAGACGTGAATAAGAAATTACAGATCTCAGTTTCCTCAACTCTAAACGCCATAAAATTCAAAATATATCTTCTGATGTTCAAAAAAACAGACTAGACAGTTCGAAATCATTCAATGACACTTTTACTTCCTCGCGCTTAAGTGATTTTCCTCTTGTCTAAAGGCCAGCTTTTATCAGATTTTTTTTAAATGACAAATAATTGTCACTCTATTCAGAAATAGGACGTGTTTCCGGTGATCAATGTCCTTTTATCGCTAGTCGATAAAGTCTTAAAAAGAATGACAAATCTTATTTTCTCTTACCTTTCTGTCATTCGCAAAAAGACTATTTCTGATTTCTTTGTTTTCTTTCTTGTGTTGTGGTCAACAGTCAAGATCTCATATAAAAAAATATTAAAAAAAAATATGTATCTTCTGATGTTCAAAAAAGAGACTGGACAATTCCAAATCATTCATCGATTCTTTTCTTATTATTTTTTTACCTATCAAGAAATGTTTTTGTCCTTTCATTTTCTCTCTCTCTCTCACTCTCTCTCTTCTCGCTTTCCCTTGTTCTCTCACTTGATGTATGTTTTTGTGATCGCGCTTCAATTTTTTTGTTGTTGTACGTACGCCAAGTAGTATGTGTATGTTTTGTCTCTAGAATACACAGGCAGGTTGAGAATAACAAATTTATTAAGGTTTTTTGGATAGAATATATGACGATGGGGTATTTTTTGCTTTAGCTTTTCTCTTTTTTTTGTGTTATATGTTTTTATTCTATTTTCTCTACTGCACGTCTAATTGTATTTCTCGACGTATATATATATATAGACATTTTTTTTTTGTTTGCGCTTGACCATCATCCTGTTCGCGGTCCAGCATCTTGAATTTTTTTTCGTGTATTTTTTCTTTCTTAGTTTTTTGGTTCATATATATATTTCTCTACTGTACAGTATAGAAATACATTTTCTTATCGACATCAAATTTTTGCGTTTTTTTTGCTCATTTTTCGTTCGATTAATAAAAAGTGTGATTCAATATACACAATATATATATATATATATAGCAGAACGTTAAAAGGAGAAGATTTTTGCTGTATTCAACTAGAGAGAATAGAAAGAGAAATCTGATGACTGGTGGTAGGCATAAACGGGATATATGTCAGACTACAAAAAAATGGATATATTCATTTGAAAAAAAATATGTTCATCACAATATCCATCCTATATATCCTTGTGAATAGAAGAAAAAAAATCAACACTGCAGAAACATTCTTTTCACGTCATTACGCTATTCTTTTTTTGAAGAAAGATATCAACCGATTCTTTTGAATTGTTCAAAATAAACACTACTACTACTTAAGACACAATAGGCCTAGGAATGGTCTAAAATAAATGTGACTCTCAAAGGATCGTAATTGAACTTTATGAACTAAAAAACGTTCTGCGCTTCTAAAAAATGAATGGGTCTTTAGATGCTGCTAACATCAGAGAAAATATATTTCTTAGAGAAGTTTTCTCAATTCTGTTGCAGATTTTTGTTCATTCCTATAGCATAAATTTTTTTGGGATATTTATGGCAATGTCTTATACGTTTTCCTCAATTCTATGTTTGATGATGATGAAATAACTTTAGAAAGGGAAAGTGAGTACTATAACAATATCCTAGTAAATTTTTAGTAGAAAGCTTAATTTAACGATATATCACTTTAGTATGTGAACTGATTACAAGTTCTTCTTATTATATTTAGTTTTACAACGGCTTAATCGTAGTCCAAGAGTATTTAAACGTGCTTTGTTTATTTCAATAACGATTAGATATTTTAGACGACATTTAATGTATACATTCCTTAAAACCTAAAAATGAAGAAAAGTTCAATTAACAAAACACAAAAAAAGTATTTCTGGATTTTTTATGTCCATCACTCTCTCTCTTTCTCTCTCTCTCTCTCGCTCTCTCTCTACGTGCTTTTAGTCTCTTCTCGTCTCTTTATTTCGACCGAAAATACAATACACATTTTATATGCACAACATAGATCGATGATATATGTTCAAATACAAGGCTACCTGCTAATATAGGTCGCCTCGCTTTTGTTTTTTCTTTCTTTCTTTACGTCTCTCTCATAGAAATTTTTTCTTTTTCACTAGAAAGCACATATTGTTTATGAACAAAGATGTATACATATCACACGTACAACGTGTGGTGTGATTAAAAAAACTTTTTCATTCCTCGAGATATATTTCTCATCGTAAGGTCATGTTGCAATTAAAGGACAAGGGTACTGTTACTAAAAAAAATATAGGCATAAATTATTTAAGAAAATTGTTAGTTGAATAATGATGAATTGTCCGACGGTTTTCAATTTTAGCCGGTCGACTCTTTTTTTACGAAATTTTAGCTTTTAATTTTTTTCGTAAATCACAAAAATCAGACAATATATCTTGGTCTAAAATGATAGTCATCAGCAAATTGATAAAAATTATTAAAAGAAAATTGTTGATCGTTTAATGTTTTTGTTCGAAGAAAACATTGCAGTATAACCACTACTTTTAATAATTTTTCTACGATTTTGAATTATCAGTTGAAAATCGGAAATATAGAATTATGACTTAAATTTCATTTGCAAAGCTAATCTTTTCTCTTGTTGCCAATACGATTTGTAGAGTTTCATTTTAAATATAAGTTGACCTCATGAAATGGATCTTTAATAATTGAACAGGAAAAAAAAAAAAGCATTTTTTTTATTCGTTTTTCTTTTTTTCTTCTTTTCTTGTTTTTAATCTTCCCCTCATCGTTTTACGTTTTCGTTGACAAAACTTTTAAATGCTAAATTCATTCTATAAACCTCTACACTTAATACATTGACAAATATTGTATCGTTGTTATTTTTTTTTTTATTTTTTTGGTTGAACCTGTACAAAAACCAAAATATATTCCAACGGATAAATCTATACACACAGTTTAGAACGCTGTGTACACATGTATATTACTATATTTGCGAAAATAAAGAGAAAAATTAGAACGAAAAAAACAAGAGCGCGAAAATTTTTACTTTTTCAAAATTGTCCTCTTGCTGAGAAATTGATTGAACATGTACCTTGCCTACTTGAATATGAAAAGAATCAAAACGAAAGAAAAACAACTCGACAATTTTTTTTTCCTTTCTCTTTATTTTTAAAAAGATTTAGAAATCATGTCTGTCAATATATCTTTCTATTAATGCCTATAAATTGAACTAAAAAAATTCTCTTTTATCGAATTGAACTATATCGGTTCTCAATGTAGGTATTAAATATGTCTAAAAGTACACTAAACGTTCATCTAAACAGTAGTAGAAACTGTACTATTTTCATTCATTAATTAGTTCAGCTAAGTGAAGTTTGTCCTCAATATTCAAATATAGCTCAAATTTTATCTCAGATAAGAAAACCATTGCATTCACTTCCTTTATCATAGAAATGTATACATAGATCAATTACTACTTCAAAATAACTATATTGTTAGTAGCAAATATATATTAATAATTACTAATCAACATCGATAGAGTTGACTGGTTATCGTTCAAGTTTTTTGAGAAATATATCTGGGTGATTTACGAAAATTCATCTCTCTGTCTTGCTCCAACTACTCTTATACTCAACGATAAGCCTCTGTAACATGTTACCCAGATTTAATTCTTAGGTGTTTTAACATCACACAATTTAAAATGAGAAAAACACATCGAACACGTAGTCAATAATTACCAGAAATCATAAGCATGATTAATTACACATTTCGACATGCTCCTTTTAAATTAAAACATCATCTTTATATTACTTGCAGTAGACTAATTTTGGAGTATGCTGCGGTAGTTTTTGATGATATATTTAAAATATATTGGAATTACTAAACTCAGTTCAAAGACTTGTTTTTCGTACTACTTCTAGCAACTGGTATTCTCAATCTTCAATCATCGTAAACAAAGTTGGTCTTGAGTGTCTTTTCTATCGGAGGAAATGTGCTTGTTTATAGTGTTTAGGGAATATTGAAAAAAACATAAAACAGCTCTTTCTTGGTTCAGTCTTTTAATAATAATAAACAAATAATTTTTACTATACTTTGTATTCGTACAATTTTTATTTTCAATTTCAACAGCTAAACGTGTCGATATTTACTAAAGTCTTCATCAGTCTCGTAAAAATTTTAAAAAAACTTTTAAACTTTTAAAGAATTGATAATGGAATTAAAATAAAATAATTTGTATGACTAGGACAATGTAAACACGTCTGGAGTTAGATGTTGAATCTACAGAAAAATAATCTATCTTTAACAAACTCGGATAAGAGACATTCCACTCAAAATACACCTTCAAATTATCGCAACTAGAAAAACGTCCTTTCCTGCTTCTTTTTTAATTTATACCGTAAAAGAATAGAATAAGCAGCTTAGTCATATCGTTGACAGCCTCTATCTTCTTTTCTTTTCTTTTTTTTGTACTAAACAACTATATCTGTAAACATAAAAGAAGAAAGTGGCAGTTGACTTGATTTTTGCGTCTACTGTAGTCGTGACCTCGGAGGTCCACAGGGCAGCATACTTGGTCCTCTATTACATCTGATATTCATAAACGAGCTACTAAATTCACTGGCATTTCCGTTCCTGGGGCCCCTTTTTGCTAATAAAATTGTTATTTTGTCTGATCCAGCTCAGTTCTGCATAGAAGAGGTAATTTCATGGTGCGACACAAATCTAGTTCGTTTAAACATCGATACATGGCAGTGCCTCTTGTTTTCAACTGTTTCCAACACAAACCCATCCATGTCACTGTGCATAAATAATACAAAAATAGAATGAATAAATTTTCTAAAACTCCTTGGCATTCGGATGAGATACGATATAACCTGAAAATTTCATCTTTCAGACTGTCGCAGAATGTTAGGCTCTATGTTGTGTGTTTTTCACGATGCGCCAGTTTCTCTCCGTTTATATCTTTACAAAAGGTGTGTTCGGATCGTCATGGAATACAGCTCGATTACTTATCGTTCGTCAAATGTCACTCATCTGGAGACGCTAGATAGAATACAAAAATAGCCGCTAGAATAACCCTCAAAGATTATTCCTCGAATTCAGATTTACTTCTGACAGAATTAGGGCTAAATCCTCTCACTGTGAGAAGAAGTCTCCCGTCTTTCATACTTCTATAAATTATATCATGGAAACAGTTTACTGTCATCGATGAAATTGATTTCTTCTTCAACTACACAGCAATCTGGTCGGAAATATCACAATAAACCGGTAGCTAAAAGGTCCTATTCTCTAAAATCGTCGGCTGGGTCTTTCAGATCACGAATGATCGATAAGTAGAATACTTTACCATCTTCAATTGTCCATCAAACGACCATAAACGTATTTAAAACTGTTCTTAAACAACATCTTCAGTTCAAACACTGCCATAAAGACATTGACATCTCCTGCGTATGAATTTTGTTGTGGTCCGAGGTTCTCTCTCCTTATTCATGGCCTACTATCTTTTTTCTTTTTTTTTGTTGTATTCTAATCAAACTCTTTCTTTCTTCTGTTTCTTCGGTGTTACATCTTAACAAGCTGTGCTTTTTCTTTAACTACCATGCTTATGCAAAAATAAATTCATTCATTCATTCATTTATTCAAGAAAATAAAACAGGCTAATTTTTCTCTGGAATTCATATTTGTTGTTATTGTCTAGCCGTATGTTTACTTATATTGTTTATTTAATTTTTGTTCTTTCCCTTTTTTCCACTTAGCACTTCCTCCTCGGATGTCGAAAACAGTGTAATTAATTATCTATTAAATGCCCAGTAATAATTCATCCAGTGTCTGCGGACATTTTTAGACAATTTTTTGACCACGACAACTTTTTGATCGTTTTTATGCATTTGAATTCACAAATTTCAATACTTTTAGGTTCTTTAGGCCATGGCACCATTACTAGTACCAGTTCCAGAACTAGAGGCTATCTCCTCGCGATGAGTTTCGCTGACTTCTGTGATCGAAGAAGAGAAAAATTCTAAGTTTTTCTCAAAAGAGTCAGCGCCATACTGGTATTTAGTCAAAATAGCGAAAAAAAATAGTGAATGGTTTGGTGGCAATTGTTTAAAAATTAACATTCACCTAGCAACATTAAGTGCTACTTTTTTTCTTAATATTTACCAAAAAAACCAAAATCAAATGTTAACAGGCAGTTACCGATCGATGTGAATTTTAGTTTTAAGTACATACAGTTGAATGCCTGTTTTTACGCCATGATTCATGGTGAAATAACGGACAAAAAACAGTGACTCTTAACGGACTGTTTTTTAAGTATTTAGGTTTTCGTTGGTCTGAGTCTTTCAGTAAGTTAAATAATCCATGGGAAAATGTCAGCAGCATTCATATGTACACCAGTGAATATGAAAAAAAATTGAGATTTGTGAGTACGTGTGAAATGTTCACGAGACTTTTTTCTCCTCATATTTTTCACACGTAGTCACGAGTGAAAGTCGTACAGTAGTTTGTGAATACATGTGAAAAGAATTCCCTCTTGTGAGTACGCATGAAATTATGAAAAGTTCACGCACGACGACGTGTTTGATGTTGCAACTGCATACTCCTGACGCCATGAAATTTAGATAAAAACTTCTCATGAGAAATGAAATAAAAATTCTATGCTTCTGATACAAGTGTACGGTTTGACTCGGTATTGCTAAGTGTTAAACTGAACACAAAACAGCAGAACATACACATCTTGGAATTTAATTCATTTTTCTTGATTTTATTTGTTCGGATAAGATACAATTCAACGAGAAATGAGTCATTCATTCTTTTCAAGGATAGAACTGACAATTTAATCGAGAATTTATAAAAGTAATGAATAATATCCATTTCGTATTCGTATGTATACTTATATTTATAAACTAATAAAAGAAAAAACTAAAAGACTAATAACAAATTGGAGATCTAAACAATCGACATAAACTCGTTTCGATTTAACTGTCCTCTATCTACTTTAAAAAGGACAACAACAATAAAGAGTTAATAATAAATACAGAAAATAAAACTGGGTCAATAAAAACTCAATCGAACCAACAACAACTATGAAATATATTTATATTATCACATAGCGAATAACAATAACAGCGAAAAACTTGAAATAATTACCGATCATTTTTTAATTACACTAAATATCTATCTAAAACAGTCAACACACGGGCATATTAATCACCCTTTGCCAGATCATCATTCTCTAAATCAAGAAGAAATTCTGGCATCTAAAAATAACAAATAAAGAATTAAACATAAACACAATAAAATTGAATTAATACAAATGAATATAATTATTTACCGTTAGTCCTGCATTTTTTATTAAATTTCTACACGTTGTCAATTGATCTTCGTATGTTGAACACAACACTAATAAATCATTTTGTTCCTGTACGTTTTGTTTATAATCATTATTCAATTTAACATATTCATTTTCTAAACGACATTTTTCATCCATTAACGATTGAACTTGGCCTTCTAAACTCTAAAATATATGTACGAAAGATAAAATTCCATCAGATAGTAAATTTATCTCTCATTTTACTTCTAATATCGATACTTTTCTCTTTTCATTAGCAATTTTTTCTTGTAATATACCATTATCATGTTGTAAACGGCTAATTTCATCTGTTTGAGCGGAACAACTAGAAACGGCACTGAACAATGTATTAAAACATCATCGATTTAGAAAAAATATTACCGTTCATCAAAAACATTTAACTTTTCTTGTAATTCGTTAATTTTAGCAGTGAATGATGCACGTTCAGACACTTGCATTCGTTCATTCTTATAAAAACAAATGAAATGATTGAGGACGGATATTATATTTGAATCAAAAGACTAATTACCTCGCGATTATTGTTATTTTCATCGTTTTCTGAATGCGATTGTTGGTCAACACCATTTTCAGCACTAAATGACAGATGTTTAAATAATCACCGAACCAGTTTATTTTAGTTCGACTTACGTCATAGTTGGATGATAATTACGTTGTTGTTGGTCGATAGATGTTTGATTCTAAAAAAAAGCTTATAAATGATGTTTAACTCTAAAATTAATATTTTGGTTTAGTTTAAGCTTTTTATTTTTTTTTTTTTTAGTTTACAAAATATTTTGGTTGAAATCTCTCCTATATAAATCCTTACATTCGTTGATCGTAGCTGTTCTAATTCCATCTTTTGTTGCTCACATAGTGTGCGTAATTCGCTTAATTCACTATTTGATTCAGTACCTAAATAAAGTGCAACAAGATATGTCAGATATTTCTTAGGATAAAAGATTTCAAATTTCTCTGTACGGACGTTCCTAATTGTGTGTTAGTCTTGAATAAATTGAAGTAAGAATTCTTTTCGAATAAAGTTTTTCATCTTGAACGTGTTATATATAGAACTGTTTTTACCTTTTCCGGACATAATTTTCAATAAGGAATATTGATCTTTCACTTCTTGTAAAGTTTGTTCTACATCATTGATACGTTTTTTATACAATTCATTATCGTTTAACAATTGTTTTTGTGTATGTTTATAATTATTTAATTCATCATCTTGTTGTCGTATCAAATCTTTATAATGTGTCATGATGGCTGTTGTTTGTTGATCGCGTGTTTGATTAGTCTGATGTAATGATAAATGTTCACTAGTATTATTCACATGATGAATACCATCTGTTTTCATTGTTAACATATTTGTTATTGAACCTTCTAATGTTTTATACAAACGAGCAAATTCAAAATCTAATGTCATTTCATTTGCATTCGTCAATTTTAATTGGGGACGTTGTAGAGCTTTTGCATAATATTCAGATTTTGACAATGATTCCAATTTTTCTTGAAATAAATCAATTCCAATTCGTTTATTAATAATACGTTCGAGACTTTCCGTTGTATATGATTGTACTCGATTATTGTTAAATACCAAACATAAACCAAAAGCAAATGCACATAAACTTTGAATTAATTGTTCACGTTCATCATTAGTCGAATGAGAACATATTTGTGATATGAGATAGGCTACACTATTTTGTATAGACAAAAAATTTTCCACAGATAATGAACAATTTGACAACCATGTACAAAGAAATATAAGTACGGCTAAACGTGTATTAAAAGATGATGTGGTATTTTGTAATAAATCCATGGATAATTCCATAAGTGTTTTAGCACCTGCGTGCTGTTGATCAACGGCTAGTATAACTTTTAATATTGATTCTTTAAATTGTTGACTATCGGCAATGAGATGACTTAATGCTATACCAGAACACCATGATGACACAACATCTTTACTCAAATAACCAATAATTAATAAATGACCAAGTGTATACTGATTAGCAGCTGAATAAAAAAACGACTTTTATACTAATAGACAGAAACATTTAAAAGTGGTATTTACCATTTTCAGATTGTGGCAACAGAGTTTGAACAATAAGGGATTTTCCAGTATCATTTTTATATAAATAACACTGTAAACAGTATAATATAGAGATTCGCAATTGGAATGATTGTTTTTCACCGGCTATCATTGTGTACAATAAGTTTAATAAAACGGGTCTAGAATATGACAAAAAATCAATGTCCTGGTTTTGTAGAACAGGGTTTCTATAAAATACGATGTGGTACAATTTTGTGAAACTTCGAAGGCCTATCATTTACCACAAATTCTGGTTCCCTGAAGCAATCCCTAAATTATATCCACATTTGTGGATAATTCAATAATTAAGATCAGTTCTGGTCACCAAATAGGGATTTCAATTTAGGGATTTTTTTAATATAAGATAAACCACATATACAGTAATCCAATACCATCCTAGTATTCATACCATACTAAATACCTGTTATTCATTAGTTTTACAACACAAATCTCATTCAAATATTATGTGTTGTTACACCATGATCTGGTTACCAGATTCTAAACACAATATAGAAGTTTAAATCTTCTTGTTTTTGTCTTCTTATCTTATCGATTTTATCTAGTTATTGTAATTCATTTAAAAACTAAATTCGATATTCTCATTTAAAACAAAGTAGTGATCAAGTCTAACCCAGAGAAAACAGTGTGTCAGAGATGAGCAAGCCTTTCGCTGTGAAGGAACGGTGAATTTTGCAAGCCCACTCTGTAGCTGTATTTTAATTCTATTCTGGTCATCAGATGCAAAGATTTTATCATGTAACTGTGAGTTAAATATTTGTCTTCTCTGAAGAGTTTATCATAACTTTTATTTACAATGCTCACGCTTTATGTAAAGAAATATAGAGAATAAATAAAAGACAATTCTGGTCACCAGAATTGACTTATACACAGTAGAATTTCCGATTTGTGTTGTAAAACTAATGAATAACAGGTATAACAATCCCTAAATTAAATACCTATTTGGTGACCAGGACTGATCTTAATTATTGAATTATCCACAAATGTGGATATAATTTATGGATTACTTCAGGGAACCAGAATTTGTGGTAAACGGTAATCAACCAGAATTTTTATTATAGCCTATTCATGTAATAGTCTACAATTTCTGAAAGTGTGGTCCAAATGAAGTGTAAAATGTACAGATATTTTTGAGAAGGAAGTGTCTAAACAGTCAATAATCACTTACTGTTGTACTTCGTTTGTGTTATTCATTACGGATCCCAAAAATTGTTGATTTTCACTATTACCTCGTACAACATCGCCAATCGTGTTTATAGTCTAAAAAAACCAAAGCTGATGCAGAAAAAGTGCTGACTGGATTATTTTTTATCAATTACCTCAGCGAGGACATCAGCAGGAATCGTGCTCAGTGTTAACATCACACACAGGCGGTGAAGTAATCCTAAAAATAGTGAAATACAACTAGTATTATACTTTATAACAAGTGTAGCACTTACCGCATTGACTAACTACACGTTGACAAGCTACGGTATTCTGATTTGAATTGGTTGGTGAAACTAATGTACGAATTGTCTACAAAAAAACAAAAAACGTCATCCTCACGTTATCTAAGTAAAGTCTCATAGAGAAAACTAGTGGGCTTCTATTTCTTCTTGTACAAGCGATGAGCTTGGTGTTAACATAAACTATGAAATTTATGGATATAACACATCTAGTAGGAAGAAAAAGCTAGCCTATAAAAACAATAATTTTCGTACCTGTAGAAATAAATGAACATTTGATACTTTTTGTGCTGACCATCGTTTATCACCGATAGAACTTAATTCAAAAAATTGTACTAAACGTTGAATATATGAACCTTCACGAAAATAACTTTGATTTGATGAATTATTTTTTAATAAATTTAGTAACACTGTCAAACAGTCTTCAACAGTCACAACTAGAAGGTAAATCTTCAAAATGAAAAAATTCATTTTGAGTTCAAAATCTTACCTCCTTCACTTCCACCTTCGCTGACTAAAATCTCATATAAACGTTCAAAACCATTTTCAAATGCAACAATCTTTTGTATATTTGCATTCGCACGCGTTAAAATTTGTAACAAAAGTAATGTCTGAAAAGACAAAACTTTCAAAATATAAACCTTGCGGTTCAGAAAAAAATTCATTTCTCACATCATTTCTGATAACTTCACGTTGATCTTGTAACAGATCGATTAATTTCGATACACCCATTGGTCCACTTTCTAATATTATGTCTTGTAATTCTTTTGGACAATTTGTTAGTAACGATGTTAAAAATTTAATCGCTGATCGACGAATATTGAAGTCAAATTCCTAAAGTACAAAAAAACTAATTGTACAAATGGACAAAACAGACCGGTATGAAAGAGTAAAATGAAAGAATAAAAATATACTGAGGGTACACCTGAAAATTTTCCGTTTAAGCTCTGAAATTCAAAAAAATTCGTACCTCTAATAAGTCTAGTACAGCATGAACGTGCTCTTTGTTTTTGATAAAGACTTCTGTGAATTGAGCAGTGATATCAGTAGGAAGACTAGCTTGTTCTAAATATAAATGATACATATTGTGTAAGAAACACATATCCAACTCTCTTTACCTTCTTCATTTCCCGGTTCATATGTCATTACATTGGCTAATGCATCCAGCGCTAATTGTATTATATCCAAATCAGTTCGGTCTCCTTGAAGTACTTGGGCAAGCAAATGCATACTTTGCGTTCCTGAAAAGAAAATGTATATCAGCTTAAACATACTTCAAATGATTTATTATTTTTCTATATCAAATGCTTACCTACTTCTAGTTTGCATTTCTGAAAAGTCAAAATTGATAAACGAAATTTTATATAATTTAAAAATATTAGAAACTGACCTTTGATAATGCTTTTAAAGCTCGAACAGCATCTCGTCTATCTTCAATACGTGTTGCTGATTGTAAACGATCACATAATCGTTCAATCTGTAAATAAATTAACAGTTCATCAAAATAGAATAAAGCCATTGTTCATTCTCTCATCACATGTAATATAATTATCAGTAATTACCTATAAACACAATCAGTTCTCTCAGACTAACAAAATGTTAGATTTCGGAACAATACATGATTTTTTCTTCTATTTTTTTTCTTCTATTTACTACTTACTGTTTCTTGTCCAGTCACAGTTCCGGATGAGGTTGTAGTAAATAATGAACCACCGCGCCAAAATGCCATCCTAAATTGATATCTAAAACATATATAAACTCGTTTCAATACTCTAGTTAGCAAAATATGATCAAAGGATGTATTTTTCATTCTCAGGAAACATAGTTCATATCATGTACGGATGAAATGCTATCGATCTATGACCTACTATCTCGTGTTAGAGAATAATGAAACAAGAAGTCTTATCTAATTGTTAGATGAGTATATCAAAAAGTAGTCTAATTGAAAAGATACTACTTATTTGTGTTAATTATTTTGTTCAGTGAAGCAGCAGTAGATGTTCACACTGATTAGGCTACATTAGGAGTGACCATCAATACTCTTTATAAAAAGAAAAACTGAAAGTCACCAGTTATCCCTGTAATTTTAAAGTTTATATAGTGTTTCTAACTGTAATCTGGTGGTAAAGTAAATTTTGACTGAATTGTAAATTCTAACTGAAAAATGTTCATTGTACGATTGATTTCATAGTGGAAAAATCCATCATGGCAAAAATTTCTATCAAAAATACTGGTGACCATCGGTACGCTGGAACAAGACGTTGTACGCGAGCTCAGCTTTAATATGTCCTTTGATTCTCATTGATATATCTTTTTTCGCAAAAATTTTATTGCATCTCTTATCTAATGAGAATCAAGCAAAAACTAAAAATTGATTTATAACATTTTTTTTCATGCGGTCCCATCAACGTGTTCATTACTTCCTAGCGTAATCTGATCCTTTAGCGCTAAGAGTAACCCACCCTTGTTCAAGCTATCACAGCTGTGCTGTATCACCACCTGTCGCTTTATATTTGACGAATGCGATCACGTATTGTGTCCTAATATTAGAGATGTCACTATTATATGTGAGATAGATAAAGTTTTTCCTTAAGGGTTAACGGTAAATGATTAGTACAGTTTAATATTGAAAGAATTGAAACAAAGTAGTAAACTGGAATAAAGTTATTTGAATATAAGAATACGTTTAATAGGAGTAATTTAATGGAAAATCAAAAGCAACCATCATGTACCTTTTTAAACAGTGTGAGAAGACAATCCTTCCGATTACGTTTCGGATACTCTGAGAACTGATGCCATTCTATTCTTAGAAAAGATTTAAATGAGATTAGGTGGGGCCTGGCCATTGTTTCTACTACAACGGCCTTCAATGTTCTTGTTCACTATAAAAATTTTTGTTTCTAGTCAAATCTTTCAATTTCTATCGGGAGTTGTTACGATTTTAATATATTCATAGTCAAAAACCACAACTATAGTTTGTACACGCTTCAATGAATACAATCCAGTATACTTTCGTTTCGATAATTTTAATTCATAAATATTAAAAATGCTAATAGATTTTAAAAAACATCAGTCACGTCCCATCGTAACAGTTTACATTCCTTCTCGCTTTCTTCAGTATTTGAAAATCGTTCAGAGAGTTTAAATTCTACAATATATATACAGATAAAAAATCAATAAGATGTGTAATGTGATTATAAGGTAATATTGGCTCGCTATCATGTATTATCCGTGAAGGTTGGTCTTTCTAGCCTTGTTAAAAACCAAAATTGTGGTCTCTATTTGGGCTAGGAAAGAGCCAATTCACGCGAATCGAGAATCATATTGCTATATTCATTAACATACTGGATTGCAATATAATAAACAGGATATGGGGACTTATCGACTTACATTACCTGTATGAGGTTCATGACGCACGATCTTTTAATAAATTAGTTTATTCTAGTTCACTAGATATCTTGGTTAAACAATTACTTTTTCGAGGGAATCCAACTAAAGTATTTTTTCAAGAAAAATCACTAATATTTATATTAAAACCAACATTTTCTTTATAAAAACTACTTTTTCTTTTCTTCTTAGTGTTAAGTGATAGACCTTGATGCTTCTCATCAATTATCGACGTCAAACTTGTTACTAGCTCATGAATCATGCCAGTAATTTCGTTTCACATTTTTGAACTAATATATATGGGAAATTTTGAACAGTTACTTTTATATATCTGATAAATATCGACGCACAAGTCACACAACTCAGTTTCCGACTCGAATTGTGTATCTTCGGGTTTTTATTATTTTTATTTAGATGATAAAAACCAGCTTTTTGAACCAGAGTTCTAAAGTGTTGTTAGTCTGAACGTAGATTTCCTTCATGACCGCCACTTTCTTATGTTGAGTGATATCTTGTGAGGAATGATCAAAGTAGCGAAAATTAATTTTTTTGGAAACTTAGTTGTTAAAATGTTAAAAAAGACCAGAAACGATTCTCTGCTATTTGAGCTATTTACTAACGTAAAATTATCTCGATTGAATTTAAATTCGCATAAAAAAATTTTTTTCCAGGCTAGAAAACGTTTCCATAAACTGTTTCCACAATATAGTGAAGTTTCGGTTTCCCAACTTCCTAGTTTACTATTGCAAAATCTATTGTACATTTATTATTTTTACAATAGAGTTCAAGAATACTTTTCAGAAAGAATAAGATGATATTGAAAATCAGCGAGTTACGTCGAATTATGCATAATATAATAAGTTATATTTGCTTGGAAAGTATCAAAATGACTAAGCAATGATAATTGGTCATGAAAAGATAGTTTACTAGCAAAATTTTTATGTCCGTCTGCTATTAGAAAAATGCGCACTGTGCTCAAGAAGGGACTCGTTAACAACAGCGGAAGAAAAGGTTTGCCGATTCAGCCCAAATTTTTACCCAATGAAAAAAGTGGAGATTTTTCGAAATATTTCAAGAAGGAAAGTATATTTTGGAAACAAATTTAGAATCTGGTATAGAGTTTGAAGTATCTATGATAAAAATTTGAGTTCTATCAAACTTTGACTTCCACCTTTGTCAAGACGATGAAAAAAGAGCGTGAAATACCCTTGGTACCTATTGATATAAAAAGCGAATCGAATCACATTCACATTTTTATTGATTTGTTCTCAAGAAAAGAACATATTACAAACGAAATAATCATTTTATTTTTTCGCAAAAACCAAAAAAGCAGAAAACGGAAACAACAAGAAGTATGCATATATAAATAGTGACAAAATCTTTTTGTCTGTAATATTACTTTGGTTCGAATGAGACACTGTCTTTGGGTTAAGTCAACAAAAATCAATTCACAAAAAAAGCAAATCAGAAGAAAGCAGAAAAAAAGATAATAGATCACAGCAAATATAGATAACAAAAGAAAAACAACAACAAATCGAATTGTTCGATTAATTTCACATAAATAAATATGCAAGTACAATAGTAATACCGAAGATTTGCTTCCAATTGAATAAAAGATATTAAAAAAATTTAAGCAAAAACAGAGCGAAGAAAAGATTATCTGTCAATAACAATAACAAGTGGAGAAAGAATTAAATACCTATTGTCTTACTGATGAACGTGAGTTTTTTTTATGTTGCAGAGGAGGACGGACAGAGGACGATTGAGTATCTTAATCAATGTGCAAAGGTTTAACACTTAATAATTCTACTGAATACAATAAATTTGAATCATAATTATTATCAGTTGCTGTTTGTGTATGCCGTTTATTGCGATTACCAGTAGTAGAAATTAAATTATGAGATTTACTTTTTGTTTGGAATAATCTGTTTGCCAATAACGATGTAGATTGTTGTACGTCCTAAAAAAAATTGAAAATAACAAAAATAAATAAAAACATAAATGTGCAGTAATAAAATCACTATAACTATAACTTAGTAATAGCTAAGTGGAAGAAATCATGCATTCTTCTAAGCGACGTTAAATAAGTAGATGCAAATCCTTTATTTAGCGCTGTGGTAATCTTTAAAATAAAATAATTAGCAAAGAAACAAAACATATTAGTTTTCTACATATGTTCTACATACTCAAACATTATAAGCGAATGACATACAAAATGTCTGATAGAAAATGATCATTTTTCTTTTCTTTTTTTAGAATTTAAACTATTATTTGACTAAGAGAATAAATATTTCTTGTGCAAAAGATAGTGTTAGTGCATTAGAGTAAAATGATGTAAAAGCAGTTACCATCATGCTAAATAATACTACGTGCTAAAGAGTAAATAAGACTTATTATATATATGTGTCTATATTAAAGAACATGCAACTTTTTGCCTTTAAAAAATAAAGCAGAAAATTTGTTTAAATAGTTTAAGGCTTACACAACAATGCACTCTTTCATTTTACAGTCGAGTTTGTATAATATTCTATAATAAAAAAAAGTACGATGGATCTACCGTTTGAAGAACAAATAAAATAAACGTCAATCAACTTCTCATTTTCTCGTTTTGGAAGAATTAACTAAATTTAACGTATATATTTACAACTTTTAAGAAAGACAACTTATCGCAGTACAGTGCACACAAAAATTATTGAATAAAATAAAAACATAACAATAAAAAAAGTTAATCACACCTAAAAAAGTGGTCAGAAAAACATTCAGACAATCAGCAAAAAAACAAAAATAACAAACAATCTTTTTTCTTCTTAGGCACCAAACACACACACATTTTTAGTATTTACAAGCACAGTAATGAGTAAAAAATAAAATATAGCGCGAGTAAAATTATTTTCTTTTTTGTAAAACATAAAAATAAAAATGAAAAAGATAATATTAGTGTCGAGAGTAACAAGCGAGAACAACAGCTAGTTTAGAAGAAATAAAAAATAATCCACCGTTGAATTCTTGATCGACAGAAGAAAAAATAAGTGATTTAAACGTCACTACTATGATGCAACAACAATGGGTCTCTTCCTTCTACAATATTATCTGTTTGTGTGAGTATTCTCTTAGTACTTGGTATTGTTTCTGTTTCGGTTGTATTTATTTCTGCACTACTTGCTGACTGAGTATTATAATTTTCATTATTATATCGGTCACCATCCAATAATTGTGATGGAGAATCATAATTGATTGAAACTGACTGAGGACTGGTTGATGATGGACTTGAAATCTAAAGTATCGACGAAGAAATACACAAAAATAAAGCGTAAAACATATGCGAAGAAGAAGAGTAGGTACGAAAGTAACCATTTCCCAGCAAAAATTATTAGAACTAAAAGAAGTCCCTGTAATAAAATTTTGAAACGGTTTCTAATACAGTACGTGCTTTTCTACAAAAAGTTTATAATCGTCGGAGCATGAAAAAAAGTGAAACTATATATAAAAGAAATAGAAGAAGCAAGTGACAAATTGCATATAGACATTTTACCGCCACAAATAGAATGGTAGAGCATCTGAAGAACTCTATGAGTAAAAGCTATTGGTTAAAATGACTGAAAGGATCATGACTTTGATTTTATTCTTATGAAAACAATTTTTTTTGTAAAAGTTATGTTCAGATTACGAAGAAGATGCTACACTCTTTCTCACTATTAATGATACAAAACACCAACAAAAAAGCTCACTTCTTTGTGTTGCACATTTCCTCTGTTGATCTGCCATCAATTGCACTAAATCATCAATCCCTCATTATTATCAGCTGTACAAAGAGAGAAAGACGAAATCTGTAGAGAAGTGATATTTTTGAAAAAAAGTTTTTGTCTCCTGGTACTCTGCTGCTGAGTTAATTCGTCTTCACTCTTCTGACTCTGAAATAGCACACAATTACCAAAAACCTTCATTAATGATCTTAGTTACGGATAAAATCAGATGTTTCGGGTTAGTCTATACGTGTACAATCTAAAAATTTCTTTTCATGAGCAAAGAAAAAGAACAAACAAACAAGAAAAATATTTCAGATTCAGAATACATGAAATAAAACTATACAGGCAGCTAAGATAAAATAAGCTAGAAACAAATAGGCATGACTAGAAAGATAAAATGGTTCACGTTCACAATGTGCAATATTTATATATACACGGAAAAAATTCACTAGAGAGAAAAAGAAAAGTCATATTGTGTGTATACTTATGTTAACATTAAAGAAATCAGAAAAGATCTTACTCTTGAGAAAATATCAAATAAATAACAAAATTTAAAGTTGATACTATTGTTTCTAACAAGTATTCTAAAACAGGAATTGCATGCATATTCATGCTCTGATATCAATTATATATATGAATATAAGCGGTAGTACTCCAAACGATAAGCTTAGTTGGTTTTCTCTGCAACATCAAACATGAAAAATAGAAGAAATCGTGTGCTTTTGTTAAACATTGAATGTGAACGATAGAAGAAAAAAGGTTTGTGCATTTAGATTAAGATGAAAAGTGGAACTAATAAAAATATACACATTTTAGCGTTCAATCACAATCAGGAGAGAATATCTACTCTTTATCTGCAGTCTAGCATCAGCAGCAACAGCAGATCGCTTACCACGATAATGAATGACTATTTCGCCAATTATTCATTTTTTCTTCGTTGCTCCTGGCGTATCAGTAACTGGATGAACTCTGTTGCGCTACAAAGGATCGGATTTATACTACTAATTTTCACATAGTTATTTATATACATACAGTTAGCGAAAACGTAGTAGCACAAGAGACAAGAGAGTCTTAAGAGAATGTGATTAATACTGTATGTCGAATATATGACGAATATACATTGGACCGTAGGAAAATAGTTTATAAAAAGTCAAGTAGCCAAAGGAAACTATCATGGAAAGCTTATTGTAGTAATTAGAATATAATTCGATTTATCAGAAATGGAGCTGTTCGATTTGGATTTTTATAACTGAAATTTTCTTCCATTTAAATGATGTAGAAAAAAGAAAAGTCTAACCTTGCTTACTTATTTAATTGAGCGACAGTATAAGTAAAAAGGAAGCGAGCAAAATGAATTAAAAAATCTGATACTGGAAAACTTAAGACACGCTCCTGAAAACCTAATGTAGATGAGTTTGATATGTGATAGTTCTTTTTTCATAATTTATATTCTTTTGATTTCGAACCGCCAGTATATTAGGCACTTCAATATGCGATCAGCACAGTCTACACTCTTTTTAGAATACAGAATTAATATCTAAATGAGAGACGATGAAATGAGACTCGATAGTTTTGATACTACCGAAGCGATGCTAACAATACGAACGAAGAAAAGTGTTAGTAAGCGTATAAATAATAAATCTAGCAAAACGGACAAAAATTTGTTGATTACATTGTTTGAAACAAAAAAATTTATCAAATAATGCGTAAATGTTTTACAAAAAAACAGAGAAAACTAAACAAAAAAATCATTTTTGTACACACTTATACTGACAGATTCATTGATATATCATCAGAATAAAAAAACAATAAGACGTATTTGAACAAATCAAGATCTACTTACTGTTCCAGATGTAGTATTATTCATCGTACGACGACTCATCATACGACCAGAAGTAATCAATGGACCCCAACCTTCCTACAGAAAAAAAAAAGAGGAAAGTTTATGAATTTATACAGACAATAAACGTGTAAGCTTACCTGTTGAGAAAATGCATAACCAGATCTAAAAACCAGAAGCATAAAATGACTTTTTATGAGATAAGAATGAAAATAAATAAGCAAACAAACCTGATTGAACGTTTGCTTTGTCTTAATTTCTGTTTTATATGAGCAACAAAAGCTGCTTTTTCGTCAAAACGATATTTTTGATTAAGGCGAGCTTTATCTGTCTTATTAGGCATAAAACGCATACGAAAAAATCTGAAAATGAAAGATAAAATCACTTATGCAAAATATCGATATTCGGTATCTATTTATACTTACTCTCTACAAAATACAGGTAACAATAGTATAACACAAGTAAGAAATAAAGTAAACCAAAAGTTTCCCGTTGATAGTACGGCCTGCGATACCCCCACATAAGTATAATTTGTATTAAAAATTTTCCAAATAATTGTGCTGTACAATGCAAAATGGAACAGAAAATGGACAACAACTGTCCCCCATAATACAAAATGATATAAACCCGTCCAATACCACATTTCAAGTGCGTTCTATAATGAATGTATACGTCAATAGTTAAATAGTTTCATACACTTTTTATACATACTTCAAGATTAACAACAATAACCATAATTGTGGCAACCATAAATCCAAAACTTTGTAAATCAGCCTGTGTCATACCAGCTGGTCGTGTACTATTGGAAACGGATAAGTAAGGAACAAAAAATATAACACACGATGTCAATATGCCATGAATAACACTTTCAGCAAATATTTTCTTATTAAAAAATTCATTATTTTGACCGGGTGTATATCTTATAAAAAAAAAAGAAGAAAACATCATCATAGAACCAACACATCACATTTCGCATAGGAAAAAATACTTACAAATAGGGTTTGCTCATAGAATGATCAGCACTCACATCCTAAAATATAGCAAAAAAAAATAAATAACAACAAAATAATTTAAAAATACCAAAGAGAAAATTTTCATACTTGATCAAATATGCCCAGTGCCAATACGGGTAATGACGAAAAAAATACGTTATATGTGGCAACAAAAAATGGATCATATATTGTCTAAAACAAAACAATAAGATAAGTGAACTAACGTAGATATAATTATCGTCACAAAAATATATTTTACCTGAGCAGAAAATCCGGAAAAAAAGGCAAACCAAAAATGACACAGTGTGAATGCAAAGTTTTTATAAAAAAAATATCTTAAAAATTTGCTTATACGAAGATATGACCAACGTCCATGTACGAGTAATAAACGTTCCAAATAACGAAATTGGCCAAAACTAAAATCACTGGCTAAAACGGCTTGTCGTCCTTCTTGTCCACTAATACCAACTCCAATATGAGCTTCTAAAAAATAAATATGTATTAAAATAGCACATTTATAATAAGGAGACACCACTTGTTGGTATAGAAAAAACTTGATATTCTTATCGTAATATAAAATATAAAATTTTGTCCTAGAAATGATTAAGAAAAAAATGACCTCACAATTAGAATGAGCCCGAAAAACTACATCGAATTCTATTGTATTTGATTAAAAGTCTATCAAGTACTAGACAACTTCTTTTTTTGAACAAAAATTTTTATTAAATTTGTTAGTCAAATTTTTCGATCAGTTGAAGGCAAGAAAAAACGCTACTTATCATTTTCGTACAAATGAAAAATATAAAATTCTGATATTTCATTCAGAATATCAAATTAAATCCTGATCAACACATAATTTCAAATAGAATCACGATTGGGATATGTCTCCACACTGAATGATAATATAGCCTATTAATTGAATATAAATATTTTGTGGTGCATTTTCAGAAAAATCTCAATTATATGAAGAATATGATAACAGTTCCTATCTTTTTAAAGAATGAGAATGAGAGAGATCGGATAGGAAGCACGCGATAAATAATTTTAACTTACTTTGAATCATAGAAACATCATTGGCGCCATCTCCAATAGCTAATGTAATTTTTTTTTCGTTTTCAATAACTAATTCCACAACTTGTGCTTTTTGTAATGGTGTTACTCGACAACAAACGACAGCTTTACACATTGTACCCAATTCAAGTAGTTTCAATTTTAATTTGTCACTTAGACCAAATACTAATGCTTGTCCCGTAATTAATAGACCGAAACCATCGAATTCCTCTCGATTATTTCCACCTTGATGCAAGGTTGTTTGTCCATTACCTCGATGATCTGCATTATTTTCATTTGTATCTTTTCGATGTTGATCAAATTTCATTGTATCAATGCCCCAATCTTTCCAATCTAAACGTTTTTTTCGATCTTCAATTTTAACATGAAATAATTGTTCAATTTTATCAATCATTTCATTTCGAACTTGTTCTAATCTTTGAGCAAAATCATTTTCATTTTCATCCTCTAATATTTTAATATCCATATCATTATTTAATAAACGACATGATAAACCAATATTATAGGCTGTTTCTGAAACAAAAAGTTAATCATAATGAAAATAGTTGTAGACTTTGATCAAAACAAAAAGTTTCATACCAACTTTATCTCCCGTTAACACCCATATTTTAATTCCAGCTTTTGCTAAACGAGCAATACAATCGGGTACACCATCTTGTAGTTTATCTTCAATAGCAGTAGCACCAAGCAATTTTAAATTTGTTTCTATTTCTTCATATGTATCATTTACTTTATCGTCACGTTTTTCCATGCTTGTACTAAAGAAAAAAAATAAAGTATAGACTCTCTTTACGTTTCAAAAGAAGAAAATTTTATCTAACCTTGCTTGATAATATTTTCTATTCCATGCTTCATAATCAGCATCACTTAATTCTTTATATGCAAGACACAATGTTCTTAGACCATCGTTGGCAAATTTCTTCAATAAAAAAAGTTAACAAAATAATTATATAAGGGAATAACTAAATATGAAATACACTTACATTTAAATGTTCGTCTGTTTCTTGCATAATTTGATTTTCCGATTGATCTAATCGTTCTTTTATTTTAGAATCAGCACCTTTACAATAAAGCATTACTTTTCCATCTTTCCTCACAATAACCTTGAAGAAAAGTAGATAAATACAAATTAATCATAATTATACTTAATACTCATTCTTGCATCAACGTACCGACATTCGTTTACGATCATTATTAAAATCAAGAATATTTAGTAACTCGTAATTTTCTTCTTTACCTTGTATTTCTGCTGTTATTGTATTTGAAGTACGCGCCTTAAAAAAAAGGTTGTTTTAGCTATCCAATAATATGTGTACATTTTCATGTACCTTGAACGTATAACCAAATGTTCTTGCTGCTGATACTAGAGCATTTTCATCTGGTGATTGTGCTTGATAAATAATTTTATCTTGAATTCGAAAATAAAAAGAATTATAAACAATAGAAATATGAAATATAGAGATATGATGTTGTCGTACCATCTTTTTTTTCTGGCATCACCGTATGACATAGGGCTAATACTATAAAAAATTCGTTTACTTCACTATCTCCTTGTTTAATTGCATCTACCAATTTTTGATCGTACCAGACAAACTCCTCGTCAGCTTCTTTAAATTGAATTGGTTTGATTTTCTATATAACAGAGGGGAAAAAATGAGTCATCATCATAATCATAATTCGATTAAACATTATTTTCTACTAATCAAGGATCAATTAGGCAAAAATAACATATGACTCAAATACAGTTCTTTATACTATCTCATCTTGGATACGAACACTACATAAATGTTTGTTTGTTTGTATGACGCAATAGATTATTACTATGAGACATTAGAAAATGCAAAATAATTAACTAAAAAAATCAACGGATGAATGCACGCTGTTTGAAGCTTATTCTACTAATCACACGCTGAATGTATATATGCATCTGTCTCATCATTCTATTTTTTCACTTATTTTTGAACCTCTAACTTCATTTATTATGTCCTTAAATTGATTTTTTCTCTTTGTCTGAAATACATATGTACAATCAATTGTTTCTAATATCATAAGAGACATGAAAAGATAGTCTCCTTCCATTTTACCTCTGGATCTTGAATTTCATTACCAGCTTCATCCATTACATAACCATAAAGTTTATTACGTATAGAACATTTATTAAACGTCATGATATTCTAAAGAAAGAAGAAAAGTATTATCCTCAATGTAAAATGAAAAAATCTTTATTATTTATGTTTTAATAACAAAGTTATTATATAAATTCATCAGGCTGAAGATAATTTTGAAGAGGGAAAAATCTATTGCGAAAAATTAAACACATAACATACCTGCGTCAAAGTTCCAGTTTTATCTGAGAATATGTATTCAATTTGTCCAAGTTCTTCATTAAGAGTTGTTGTACGCGCTTGAGCTGGTACATTATTAGGTTCATAATACATTTTAATATCCCAATCAATCCATTTTGATTGTAGTAAACGGATAAATTCGACACTAGAATAAAAATCATAAATAGAAAAAACAAAATATTTCTATTTTTAAACATTTTTTTACCTAACATAGAGTGATATAGGTACAACAGTGTTCAATATAATAATATAGGATAAAAATACAAGTAAACTTTTTTCTAAAGCACCAATACGTTGATCATCTTTAATATAGTTTTCCCATGGCAAATAAATACGAAAATTATATCCAACAAATGATTCCCAAAAACCACAACAAATTGTCATTATAGCACACATAATTAGTAAAAATGAAAAAATCTAAATGAAAAATAATGAAACATGTAAATTGATACTAAGTAATAAATAACAACATATGACTCGTTATTGCTCTGAAATCTCATGGTAGAAACTCAGATTTAAAAGTTGTATTTTGTGGTTACTTTTTAAAGATTTATTACGGTGTACAATGTTAGTACTTACACCAAGAATGATGCGATTTAGTAAATGATCGATTTTTGTTCGTTTAAATTTTGCTTTACCACTGTTTTTCATTAGTTTTGTATCAGCGCCCGCATAACATACAACTAAAAATGAACATCGATTTCAATAAAAACGAGACATAGTAGAAAAAATGTGACTACATACTTCCAAATGCCCATGGAGTATTTCTTAATCGACAACCACGCAGTAGAATATTATCATTTTTTAATGGATAAGTTTTATTTTGCCATTTTAAATTACCTTCAAAACGGCCTAAATTATTAGTCGGTGCTTCATATTCAATTTCAGCTAAAACGTAACAATATTTTATACACGGTCACCATGTATCAATGCAAAATTATTACCATCGAATTTAGCTAGTTCTTCTATATTATCTTTTAGTTCACATGTTTCTTCTAAAGAATTACGATTTTTGAGGTTTGTTTCACTGAAAAAACAAATATATATTATATTATAGAAGTACGCGAAAAATCTTTCTGCTTAATACTAACCCATCTAATTCAGCTGTTTCAATAAAACACAAACCATGCGGCTCACTGGTTGATATAAGCACTAAATCTGCCTGAAAATAAACGTAATACGGCTCATTTATAACGTCTTCCATTATTTATCGTACTCAAAGAGTTAGAAGCATTGATGATAAAGAAAATTTTCAATCTTACCGTCACAAAATCATTGTTTGAAAGTTTAATCATATCGCCCACCTTGATTTTTGCCCATATTTCTTCCACGAGGTTTCCATCAATAAGAACATTAGTAGGACGATTATTAACTTGCCTATCACTTCGATGTCTTGACTTAAAAAACAAAAACACACAGATGATTAAATAAAAAAAATTATATTTTTCTCTATGTACATATGTACAGTTCAGTACGTACGATATCATCTGACGCGTCTTTAATAGCTGTTAACGCTAATACAAATACAAGTGGTAAAATTGTCGTGACCGGTTGAAGAGAACTAATTTGTGGTATAAGCTAAAAGAAAATAGAAAACCATTAGAAAAGAAGAAAAAAAGATAGTAAACAAGACAAACAAACCTGTAGACAAAGTAAAAATAAAAAATAAGCATTTGCTAAACGACGAAATTGTTCAAAAAGATTTTTTGGTAAAAATGTAACTAAATTGTATTTCGATGTGGAAATATGATTATCCTAAGAGAGAAAAAAAAACCCTCATAAAATCACGAAGTAAACAGATGTATATAGCTAAAATACATACAGCATATTCTTTGAGCGCATTATTTTCACGATCGTTTGCTCTGATGGTGCGATGTTGCTCTTTAATAATAAACAAATTTATGGCTATAGATGGTTAACGAAGAGAGATTTCAAACATACCTTCCTGTTTCTTTTTTTTAAAAAATGGTAAGTGTTTCATTGGATATTTTTTTATATGTGTATTTATTGTTTATACCATTGAAAATGGAAAATCCACAAATAGTTTCAATATTCGATATTTTTTATCTATTTATTATCTTACGAATATGAACAGATTATTTTGCATTTTTAAAAATAATTCTATTAGTACCGTTGCAATAACAAACTAATAAACAACCGACAGAATAACAGGGAAAGAAGAATGCATACGCACACTCACACACACAAATATGAATTATCTGAAAAGAACAAAAACATATTTAGTATGAATTTTAATAAAAAATACATTTTTCTGTGTATGTAAACAAAAGTTTTTTTAAATGTAAAACCAGCCATTGACACTTACAGGAAAATGTTATATATATGTAACAAACGTTCAAATTTTTCTAATAATTTTCATCAAGCATAGCATATGTTAAGTAGAGAAAAGTGTAATTAAACAAGCAAAGAAGAAAAATAAAAATAAAAATTTTGAAAATAAAAAACTTTCATTGTACCACTAACATTTAAAACAAAAAAAAAGAAAGAAGAACGTCTCTTTTAAACTAATTTTTTATTTTTACACCATTTGTAAGGAAAAGATGACGTTTCCAACGAGAAAATTATATAGTACAGATCATATGCATACTCATTCACTTGAAAACTATAACATGATCTTCAAAACCATAAAAGAGATTTCAGTTGAACTGTCACAAAATGTCAATCTCTTTTTACGTTTTAAATACTGACACTTCTTTGTTTTATCTCATATTCAATTACAATAGATCATCAAGTATTTCATCCTAGTTAATCAGTAAAATAATATGTTCAGATGTTCACATAACCTTTTCAAATTCTCTCTGATCCTAAATTGTTAGAAAATTGTCTGTTCTGGATTATTTAACAGATCAACGTCCTTTTCTCTATCAAACAATAGGGGCATCTATGTACTTCCATTATCTTAATTTTTTTTTCTTCTTCACTTGATATTCACTATTACATACTCATGCTTAAGTACTATTAATTAGTTATCAAGAAAGTGAAAATAATGCAAACACACAGTGTCTCTTGTACTTTCGTTACATTTACGTGTATTTTAGTTTTCTTTTAAATACATCTCGTTCTTTATTTGGTTTTTTATGCCTACTAGATGCATTGTGTAAATTTCATGTGTTTCATCAATGTTGTTTTTCTCTCCTCTTATGGTAACGTGGACGACATAAAAAAAAAAAAAAGGAGAAAAAGAAAAAAAAAGATAACAATAAATAATCAGTAAAATTCATATATACAGAGTAAAAGAAAAAAAAATCTATAATATTAAGCTAAAATTTTAGAATAAAAATTAATAATATGATTGAATAGGAAAATTAAAACATAAAGATGAACGGATAAAAAAGTTGATAAATAGAATAAAAGCTCATTTTTTTCTTTATTCAAACCCCAAACCACTGCTGTTCTTAGCTCATAAACAAATCTATCATTTTTTTTTTTATTTGGAAAAATACGTTCATAAATTTCAATGACACTTTCTTTCCTGTTAACGATCACTAGAAGACAAATATAAAGTTCACTCAGTTTGATTATCAAAGAGATTATAAAGATGAGATATGAAAATTTTTAGAAAACTTTTTTTTTCTAGTAAATATTCTATGAAAATGTTTAAAGTAAAAGAAAAAAATAAGTTGGAGAAAATCTAAAAGAAGATTTCAAAAAATTCAATATTATATTCCACTATAGCCATTGATTAAGAGAGAGTACTTCGCTTATCGATTTTTAAAATTTTTCAGTAAAGTTAACTATTAATAGAAACTCCCGTGGTCAACAATAATTTTTCTTTATTTTCTTTCACTCCTCCACTTTATTTATTAACCGGAATTTCGATCATGTTACACACAATTTGCATAACATTTGTTCGTTAATCAAAATGTCAAATGATTGAGGCTTAGAATCACTTGCTCTAGTCAAATAATAATAACACAACCCAACGTTATACTTGTTAAACAATCAATATAATAACACAACATAGAGTAAAACGTGAAATAGATGAAGAAAAAACTACGAATGACGATATAATTATCAATGATAAATACTTGTACTTATAGACGCCAGATGGAAAGAAAGAGAAAAAATAACAACAAATTACTCTAGCAGACATATGATGCATCAATTATAATGCTGTTAATGAACTACAAAAAAATTTTATTTTCTTCTCGTTTTTTTTGTTTTTTTTTGATGGTCAAAAACTAAAAGATTATCTGATTACTTGTTAATGAAGAACTAAATGAGTAAAACAAAAACGAGATTATGTCGTCTTAAAATGTCATGGAATAATAATAATAATAATAACAACAAAATGAATTAACAGATAATAATACATGATCGTTGAGATTCTCCTGTTTACAAACAGATTAGTATGTGTAAAATTAGTTGAAAAATGTGCAACTAAGTTTGAAAGAGTTAAACACAAAAATATAATTAATAGGAAGACTGCAATCAAATAGTCATTTATCCTAATTTTGACTAGTACTAAATTCGAAATATATCATATTTTATTGCTCATTCACATTCTTCTCAGACATTAAGTGTATAAAAGAATTTTATGTATTATATTAACAAGAAAAAATATATTAAATTACTTCAGTTTTACCTTAAAAGTATCTGAGATCTCAGAGTTAGATTAATCCTAGAAAGGTCGACTTTCTAATTTAATGTTTAGGAAAAATTAGAAGTAAAAAAAAATGTAATCACTCTACAAAACTGTTAAGTTGGATTCCCAGAAAAATTCTGTCAATCTTTCACTCATAAGTCATATAGTTTTGTAGAAAATTAAATTTTACACTTGGTAGTGTAAAAATAAAAATTTCAGAGTCAACATTTGGGTTTAAAAACCTAATCTTTGTTAAATCTTGTCAAAAATTTGTTTTAGGCCTCTGTAAGCTGGAAATACAATACACGCAATCTCCAAAACTAGCTATATAAAAAACTTTATTTTTGGGGTCCAATTTGCGATCGTCCATGTTTTTTAAAAACAACAAAAACTTGTACATCGCAGTAGGAACATTAAGCATGTATTTATGTTTTGAATACTGCCCAAATGGAAATAATTTGTTTGGGAATCCAGCTTAACAATTTTGTAGAGCAATTAATTTTCTATTAAATGAGATAGAACCAAGCCTTCAAACTTTCTTTCAATGCTACAAAAAATATGAGTGTTCGTTTTTTTCTGGTTCACCCGTTTAATATTTTTAGTTCTTGAAAAAGTTCTTACGCTCTTGTTCACAATTGTCTATAATCCTATCATTTGTTATTCGGATGCATTCAAACACTTACATGTATGTTTAAAAATTCCTAGTAGAAACTCTTGAAGATGTGACCTGCTAACCCATTCAGCTAGGAAGTAACAAAAAAAAATGCGTTTGATGCTTGACAATTTACACACATGAATAACATTTCTCTGCGTGGAAACAAAATCTGTTTCATTTTAACTCGATAATACATTTCGTTCTCGTCAGACTGTGCAGTACAAGTTCTACTCGTATGTTGGCTCGACTAATAACATAAAACAGTTGATGTACGAAAAATACTCTCTTCAATTCATGTAGCTATCTTCCGTACGATATGTGCATATCTTGCGATTGAGAAAAAGAAGTGAGTTAAAAAATTATGAACTTTGACATATACACACGTGCATATGTAATGGAAACAGTGTTTTTAATAGGAATTTTAAGCAAAGTGGGTTTCCCCAGTTTACCACTGCATTTTCCATGTTTTCCCTGCTAAAAACAAAGTAGAAATCGAATTTTCAAAATGGAAATCCATTTTGCTCAAACAAGACCCACTAATCATTAAAAACACTGAATGGAAGACATGCTACAGATTCATTACATTGAATGAGGAAGAATGATAAACTCAATTACAACTTACCAGCAAGTAACAAAAGATTCTCGTATTAGTTTTCTCTCCGTAATGGTATATTGTATTCAATGATAAAAAAATAAAAGGCGTATATTTAAATAATTTATCGGTGTTTGCTTTAAAAAAATGACTAATATTTTCGGTCATCATTAAAAATTCTTCGCTATTCTTAATGAATAAAGAAAGTATCTTAACAGCAGCTTACGACACAAATTGTGGAAAATGAAAAGAATGAATGCAAAGAAACTGTAGCATTTCAAATTTAGATGAACTAAAGCAAAACTTTTAAAAATAAACTAATCAGCCATCAAAAGATTTATTGAGTCAAATTAAAACACTCAGGTTGACACAGAAAAATCAACAAAAAACAATGTTCTAACATTTATTTATCTATCCTATCTAGATAGTTTTACTTATCTATTTGTTTTTATTTTTTATAGTTTTACCACCAACACCATCGTCAACATGAGTCAGACTACTTGTGAGTTTGAACTGTTGTTTAGCCGAGACCAACCGCCGATCATCTTAGCCATTGAAAAAGATGCAACTATTAATATTGGAGGACCGCGTACCGGTGACATCTGTTGATTAAACTATAAACTATAGGTAGGTGTTTTGTACTAGCAGTATACGCCTTACGGTGTCTTCTACTTTTCAGTTGCGTACTGATGAAGGAAGAATAAGATATTTCAGTTTAATGGACGTCAGAATGCTTGAGAACTGGTCGCATTGAACAGATACACATCTACTATACTAATTATGCGACAACCAAACTATACGCTTGGCAATAAAAAAAAAATTAGATTTTTTCATCACCATCGTTATATAGACATGCAAGGTGCATCGATAAAAAAATACGTTCAAATGAATCATGTATTCACATACTCACCAATTCAATAAAGTGTTCGTAGCACTGTTTGCAAATAATTATATGCTTGTACTTTGGAAAAAGA